GTCATAGCATGTGGGGTCTAGTTCCTTGACCATGGATCAAACCAAGCCACCCTGCATTGGGAGTTTGGAGTCTTAGCCACTGGACTTACCAGGGAAATCCCTCCACTGTTTTCTGGTACACCCTGTTGTTCCTGTGTGTAAGATATATCCTTTCTTTTGGCTCTTAAGAATTTTCTATCATCAGTTTTCAGCAGCTTGATAGGGCGTTCCTTAGATTTATCCTGTTGGCACTTTTTGAGCCTCTTGGCTCTATGGGATAAGAGTGTTCATCAAATTTAGAAAAATTTCAGCTGTTATTTCTTGAAATATTTGTCCCCTGACTCCCACCCCCTTATTTCTAGTAAGACTTTTTTTAACCTTTTCTGCTCTCTGTTCTTCAGTTTTTGTTTTAGTTTTTGAGTTTCTATTACTACTTACTCAACTTCACTGATCATTTCCTCTACAGTATATAAATCTGCTGTTCAAATAACCCAGCAAACTTTTCATTTCAGATGAAGTGTTTTTAAGCTTCAGAAGTTAATCTCTTTGTTTTCTTTTTTATATCTTCCGTTTCTCTACTCATTATGTTCATATTTTTCTTTAACTTTATGAATATATTTAAAATATTTGACTTAAAACCTTTCTCTGCCAACTCTATCATGTCTGTCACTTTTGGTTCTGTTCCTATAACTGATTTTTCTCCTGATTATGAGTCTCATTTTCACGCTTCTTTACATGTTTAGTAATTTTGATTGGATGCTGGATATTGTAAATGTTATATTGCAGCATGTCTAGATTTTGGTGTCGTGTAAAAATTATTGACTTTTGTTTATGGGGGTATTTAAATTACTTCTGAGTCAACTTGATCCTTTTAAGGCTTTTTTAAAGCTTTTCTGTGGTGGCTGCAAAGCATCCTTCACTCTAGGGTTGGTATAGTCCATCTGGGAAGCTATGACCTCCTACTGTCTCTACTGAATTACTGGCTATTTGACAAGGCCTCCCTCGTGTAGATCATTGGAAGTTGAACATTGCCCAGACCTTTGTTAACTCTGGGTAGTAGTCAGCTTACTGGGTAATTAGCTGTTCTTTCCCAGTAATTTGTTGTCCAGCCTTGTGCAGTGTTACCCTGCACATTACCCTGTACATATTCAGCCCACGACTCAAGTAGATCCTCTAGATTTCTGGAGCTTTTCCTCTGTGCTACTCCCTCCTCTCTGATACTGTACCCTGAAGGTTCCGTTTGCCTCTGCCCCTCCACACGCTGGTCTCTTTTTCCTTGGTTGGGCATGATTACCATGTTCTATGCTGTTTTTTGAAAAGAACCTCAAAGGTGAAAACTGGGCCATTGTGTCCACTTCATTTGTTTTTCTTTTTCAAGAATCAGAGTTCTTTGCTGTTATCCAATATTTGAAAACATTTATTTATTGACCAGTTTTATTGTTATCTATGTTGAGAAGGCAAGTCTAGTCCAATTATTGTGTCATACCAAAAGTGGGAGTCTTCTTGGTCCCTTTCATCAATGTTTCTGATTGAGGTAAAATTCACATAACAAAAAGTTAACCATTTAAAAATATACTCTTAGGGACTTCCCTGCCAGTCCGGTAGTCAAGATTCCACACTCCCGATGCAGGGAGCACTGCTTTGATCCCTGATTGGGGAACTAATATCCTGCATACCACCTAGTGTAGCCAAAAATAAAAGTATACCCTTTTATCAATTTTATTTATTTATTTTTTTTCCATTTATTTTTATTAGTTGGAGGCTAATTACTTTACATCATTGCAGTGGTTTTTGTCATACATTGAAATGAATTAGCCATGGATTTACATGTATTCCCCATCCCGGTCCCCCCTCCCACCTCCCTCTCCACCCGACCCCTCTGGGTCTTCCCAGTGCACCAGGCCCGAGCACTTGTCTCATGCACCCAACCTGGGCTGGTGATCTGTTTCACCCTAGATAATATACATATTTCGATGCTGTTCTCTTGAAACATCCCACCCTCGCCTTCTCCCACACAGTCCACAAGTCTGTTCTATACATCTGAGTCTCTTTTTCTGTTTTGCACATAGGGTTATCGTTACCATCTTTCTAAATTCCATATATATGTGTTAGCATACTGTAATGGTCTTTATCTTTCTGGCTTACTTCGCTCTGTATAATGGGCTCCAGTTTCATCCATCTCATTAGAACTGATTCAAATGAATTCTTTTTAATGGCTGAGTAATATTCCATGGTGTATATGCACCACAGCTCTTTTATCAATTTTAAAATCAACTTTGAGAATGTAAAGAAACTGCTTGAAATGCAGGAGACCTGAGTTTGATCCCTTGGTCAGGAAGGTCCCCTGGAGAAGGGAATAAGCTACCCACTCCAGTATTCTTGCCTGGAGAATTCCATGGCCAGAGGAGCCTGGCGGGCTACAGTTGCAGGCTAGGAGAGCCACGGGGGAGGAAGGGGCGGGTAGCAAAGCAACTCAGTTTAATTAGGGTAAAAAGGCCCATCAGATGTGAGACGCCTGTACGGGAAAAACGGCAACTCTTGGTTTGGTGATTCTTATTTTTTGGATAGGACAAAACCACAGCTTATATATAAGATTAGCAAGTCACATTCCAAAAAGTTTAATTTGGCAAAAATTAGAGCTTTGCATTGATGTATAAAGATAGATTCTCTATAATATGAATGAAGGCATCAATCTAATTAGAATGCATTAAAAATTTTTGGCTTTGAAATAGTTTGTCAATTTTAAAAAGCTGCCATGTATTAATACATACATTTAGGAGAAAGTAGTATTTCTCTGCATGCTGCCTACCAATTAATACATTAGGAGTTCCATGGTGCTATGCTGCTCTGTTGCCCCTGAAATACCATGAACACACATCATTTATATTTGTATATGGATTCCATAGACAACAAATTCCATTTGTTGCCAGTACTTTTCGAGTTAAACATTTTTTTTTTTAGCCCAACCAGTTTTCATCTTTTTCTTCTCAGTTTGACCCATTCATACTTAAAACACATTAACAAGGGAAGAGTAATGAAAAAGTTAACAAGAAGTATCAAAACCTCAACTAGTCTTATAGTAAAGAGAAAAAAATTCCTATTTTGTCTGTAGTGAAGAAAACCTGAGTCTCAAAGACACCTTTAAAAAGCCTTAGGAATCCTCTGTAAACACCAGAAAGTAGGAGAGGATTTTCAGAGTTTTAATAATGAGCAGTAGAAGCTGATTTGAGGTTCAGAGTCTATGCTTTCGTCTTTTGTCAAGAGTTCTGCACAACAGCTTTTATATTTAGGTGCTATGTTTTGGGTTTTTTTTCACTCATGTGAGTTTAATTTCTTAAGATTTTTAAACATCTTTTTCTTTGCATCAGACCCTCATCAAAGTTTACTTGCTAGCAGAGTTGGTTTTTCTACAAACTTGAAGAAATATTTTAAATTGATAGTAGTCCTGATTAGCAGTTGTTCTGCCTACAATAAATTGTGTATGTGTATGTCGTATATGTATCGGTTTGGTCAGGGACACTGACAGAGCTGGGCCAAGACTTTTTCCTGCCTGTTAATCAAGGCCACACAGACAAAGCTCAAGGAAGGATGACCCCTGCCTCAGGAAGTATTGAATCAGTTGCTATTTTTAACCAGTATACAGTAGAACTTGAGACCAGATCCTTACTCAGTTACTAGGAAAAGTTCTCTGCCAAACTTTACATTTGAGGAAACAGTTAATGGGCCTAAATGAGCGAAGCCTCTGCATGAAAGGAAGGGATGTGACAGTGGCTGTAAGTATTTTTGCTGATATGGGTCAAGGATGTGGTGGCAGAGATGTGGAAAGTTCAGTTAGTGATGAAATAAGTAATTACATTTCAAAGTAACTGATAGTTGATGGCACCTTGGATTGTCTTTAGCTCTGTGTATATGGAATTCTTCCCTGGTGGTAAAGAACCTGCCTGCCAATTCAAGAGATGTGGGTTTGAATCCTGGGTCAGAAAGATCCCCTGGAGAAGGAAATGGCAATCCACTCCAGTCTTCTTGCCTGGGAAATTCTATGGACAGAGGAGCCTGGCAGGATGCAGTCTATGGGGTGGCAGAGTTGGACATGACTTAGCAACTAAAAAAACAAAACAATATGAAATTCTGGGCTGCTAATAGCAAGGTTGAAATAAGGGTATGTGATGAACTAATATTATCTCTCAACATAGGACTAGAAAAGGAAATCAGCTATTGGTGTGTTTCCAGACTAATTGACTCTTCCTCTGAAATTATACATAAACTATTGGTATTTGAGATGTATTTCTGATAGTACTCTGTTGCTCCTGTTTCATTAAGTGAAAGTTTCATAAATAATTGATTTATGGGGTTTTTCCTGGTGGTCTTGTGGTTAAAAATTCAATGCAGGGGATGCAAGTTCAATCTCTGGTCAGGGAACTAAGGTCCCACATACCACAGGGCAGTTAAGCCTTCATGACCCAATATGCAGCCAAATCAATCAGTCAATAAATATTAAAGTTTCTTTTAAAAAAAGAATTGATTTATTACAAAATAATGTTGTATACTACTATTATAATCTCTTATAAAACCTCATTCTATTTAATATTAGGAAATATGCAGAACATGAAAGCAGGTAGTTTGAGAAATACCATAAATAATATTTTCTCTGTAATATTATGTCACTATCTTAGGAATGCCTTAATGAAGTTGAATTACTTAAAGGATGACAGGTACATCTTTACATATGAAATATAAGTGAGTTATTTAGGGCTAGGTGGGCAGTGTTTTAGTGGAATTTAAATTAGGAAATTATAAAACTGTGTTAACATATTCATCTTATTTTAATAGGATTATTCAAAATAGAGCTGTAGCCATTTTCAACAAGGATCGATGATAAGAATTTTTCTTTTTAAAAAAAGATTTTCAAGTTAAAGATGAAAGGAAAATACTGGAATGTTTTGGATTCTAACTCCTGAGATAATGAATATAGTTTTTCACAGTGACTTCTGATGGAACCTTAGTAAAATTCATTGTTTGTCATGCACCCAACTGGGAACATGGATGTTGGCTTTTCTCGTTCTGCTGTTCATACACTGTCAAGAAGCCACTGCAAAAACATCAAGCAAAAAATTTCCCAGTGGGAAGGAAGAGCTAATGGTATATCTAACCCAGATAAGTGGCATCCAAAGGACTTTGGAGTGAGATATAATAACTGTAATCAAGAGATTCTTAAGAAAACGCCTATTGCTGAGGGAAAGAGCAAAAAGTTGGATGTAACCAACACTCAAAATGTTGTTCAAAGTATTAATGAAGATGTCAAAAGCCACAATCAAAGTGAGGATGAAAGTGAAAAACCTGAATATGATGATACACGCTTATTTAAAAATGAATCAGAACCCAACTGGGTGTGTTCTCGGGTCAAACAAATTGAAAACTGGAAACAAGTTTTAGATCCAGAGACTTCATTACCTCCGGGAAATTTCTATACCTCACAAATATTGTGGAAGAAAATAGAAGCACTTTCCCCAGATAAAGTCTTAAATTTGGCTTTAGAGCATTGTGGCTCTTCAGAAAAAGAACTGAATTTCAGAGTTCTGAATAGTTCATATGGAGTAACGAAGAGCTTAGAAAACATTTACTCTGAGCCTGAGGGACAAGAATGTGGACCTTCTATAAATCCTTTGCCAAAACCTCGTAGGACATTCAGATATTTATCTGAATCTGGCGTTATGCCATATAAAGAAAGAAACTGTGATGAAAAATACTGTGAAAATAATTCTTGTGCAGAATCTTCTTTGGCCTCCTCTCAGGAACCTGAACCAAAGAAATATGGTGGAAAAATCAGAGGGAGATCTAAAAGGTATGTTTTTATTTGAAAGGTAATGATTTTCAGTATTCTCCTTTGAGAACCATTGAGCTTTTTCCTTTTCAAACCAATTTCCATTTCCATGTGTGGGTTACACCTCTAATTTGATATACAGATGTTGATTGACCCAAGGGGGAAATACCTACAAGAGTATTAGGAGTACAGGTAATATCTAAGACAATCTTCTGACACAACCATAGAAAAACTTATATTTTTTAATTAAAAATTTTTATTGAAATATAATTGACGTGTAACATTATATGAGTTTCAGGTGTGCAACATAGCAATTTGATATTCATATGTATTGTGAAATGATCACCACAATAAAGCTAGTTAATAACATAAGAGTGTATATTTGAAAGTCGCTAAGAGATGTTAAGAGTTCTCATCACGAGGGAAAAAAAGTAATTACGGTGCTGAGATAGTTTAATGATCATATCAAGTAATATTCATAAAATGTATGTACCTGGAAGACAGTGGATCTACATGTTAGCCACGTTATTTTTTAAAAACTTTCTATTTTGTATTGGAGTGTAGCCGATTAACAATGTTATGTTAGTTTCAGGTGGACAGCCAAGGAACTTGATACATACACATGCACCCCTTCTCCCCAAACTCCCCTCCCAGCCAGGCTGCCACATCACATTGAGCAGAGTGCCCTGTGCTGTACAGTAGGTCCTCGTTGGTTATCCATTTTAATTGTAGCAGTGTGTACATGTCGACCCCAAGCTCCCTAGCTGTTCATTTCCCTCATCCTCCCCCTGGCAACCCTAAGTTCATTCTAAGTCTATGCGTCTGTTTCTGAAAAAACTTCCATTTTCTATCTTTAAAAATATATAGGGAAGCTAGTACGTTCTTCTATTTCATTTAGGGCATGCTGGCTGTAGTCTCACTTTTTATTAGAGAGTAAATTTAGTAAAGTACACAAAGAAGAACATGAATGTAATTGGCTGTGTGCATGGTAAGTTGTTGCTTCAGTCGTGTCTGACTCTTTGCAACCCATGGGCTGTAGCCAGCCAGGCTCCTCTGTCCGTGGGATTCTAGAAACAAGAATACTGGAGTGGGTTGCCATGCCTTCCTCCAAGGGATATTCCCGACCCAGGGATTGAACCCAGTCTCTTGTCTCCTGCATCAGCAGATGGGTTCTTTACCAGTGGCACCACCTGGGAAGCCCATGCAATTGGCTAAAAACATTCAGTTTTCTCATGGTTCATATAAGGCTCCAGCCTAATTTATTATTTTTAGGTATATGATAAAAACATCTTTGTAATTTTTCACACAAGTCCTTTACTTATTAATTTTTATCATGCCATAGTTTTAAAAGATAAAACCTTAAAGTATATCTCCTTTCTTAAGGAAATCCTTTGAGTTTGAGGACATTCAGCACTTTCGAAATCGGAACTCACGGAAGATTCATGAAGAACTTGGAAGAAATTCTGGCTCAGCACTTTATTACACACAGTCTGAGGACAATATCTATGAGGATATCATATGTAGGTGTTCACAAACTCTGCAATTCAATTTAATGAGTATGTAGTTGGGGCAGCCCTTAAGTAGAGTGTGGTATTTTCTTTTACAATCGAGCATGTCTTGCTGTAGATTTTCCTTTTTAATATTGAAAACTTTGTTGTATAAATTCCTTTATTCTCGAATGGATTTTACATCTAGTTTACTGGACTCTTCACTTCAAAAGTAGACTTTTGCAGTGTGGTACCTTACGAATTCTTTTAGATTGGCTAGATGCCTGAGTGGTTTGTAAGTGTAAAGTACCACTGATTTTAAGACCTATATCCCTAAAGCAATGTAGAGTAGAGAGCTGAACCAGTCAGTTTTTTCTTTTCCTTTTATGTGTAATCACTTTGTTCTCATGTAATTATGTTCCTCTAAACTTTCTTATTTTCCTTTTTTTTTTTTTCTTCAAGATCCCACCAAAGAAAATCCATATGAAGACATTCCAGTGCAGCCTTTGCCCTTGTGGAGATCCCCTTCAGCATGGAAGCTCCCACCCTCTAAAAGTGCTTTCAGAACACCCAAGGTATAACCAGAGAATTAATATAAGAAAACATTAGAATCTTATTTATGATCCCTACAAAAAAAGGTTAAAATGGTTTAGTTAGGGCCGAAACTGAGAGGCACTGAAATATGGGTTTATTGTTCTTTGTTTTGGGGGAAGCAGCACAAAACTATCTTTTAAATTTGGTTTTTGGGGGGGGGGTTGTTTGCTTTTTAGCACTTCAGAAAACTTGAATGTAAACACCTTTGGACAAGCCATAAACCTTTCAGTTCACTCTAGTTACCACAGGTCTGTAATAGGTTTGCATCACCTGTGGCCTAAATTACCTGTCTGGTTCCTGAGAGCACTCACCACCCCCAAAAGCAAAGGCTGCTTGACCTAATGAGGACTCTGAACTGTTGTTCTCTGTAAATTCAGTTACATTGTTGTAGAAGAACTTTGGATTAGAATCCTGAGAAATTTCTTTACAGTGGAAAAGAAAGTATGGTATACTCACTTGGTGGTGGTGGTAGTTGTGATTTAGTCACTAAGTCGTGTCCGACTCTTGTGACCCCATGGACTGTAGCCTGCCAGGCTCCTCTGTCCATGGGATTCTCCAGGCAAGAATACTGGAGTGGGTTGCCATTTCCTTCCCCAGGGGATCTTCCTGACCCAGGAATTGAACCAGGGTCTCCTACATTGCAGGCAGAATCCTCACTTGAGATGATTTTAAAGGAAAGATAAATATTTGGGAGAGGATAGCTTTGACTTTGAGAACATAGGCATTACCTAGATGATCTTACCCTTACCAATACCTTTTCTTTTTTAGCTTCCTCCCAAACCTCATTTCCTTCACCGGAAGACTATGGAACTAAAGAACTCACAAGCTTATATAAGGTCAAAGCTCACAAAGGATACTACATTGCCAGTCACGTTAACTGAATGGAAGCTTTTCCGAGCTGGAGAAGTTGCAAACAGGAAAAGGAAAAATCTTCCAAGGGTAAGAACTCCAGTATTTTCATTCTTTGACTCTTATTTCAGCGTTTCCACAAATGAGAATAAATAAACTTCAGACTGAAATGAATAGCAGGTTAAAACTGACCTACTGGAATTAGAAGATTTGGAAAGCAGACTTATGTTTTAAGTTTTGCTCATGCAAGAAAAATGCATGAATGGCTTTTGCCAAGGTTTTTGTGTGTATGTGTGTGGATTTGTGAAATTGATTTTAGGTGAGTGAGTGAGTGAAAGTCATTCAGTCTTGTCCAACTCTGTGACCCCATGGACTGTAGCTGCCAGGCTCCTCTGTCCATGGACTTCTCCAGGCAAGAATACTGGAGTGGGTTGCCATTCCCTTCTCCAAGGGATCTGATAACCCAGGAATCAAACCCTCCTCTCCTGCATTGCAGGCAGACTCTGTACCACATGAGCCACCAGGGAAGCCCTTCGAGGGCTTCCTCTTGCTTATCTTTGTCGTTGTTCAGTCGCTCCGTCACCTCCGACTCCGCGACCCCAGGGGCTACAGCACGCTGGGCTCCTCTGCCCTCTGCTGTCTCCTGGAGCTTGCTCACATTCGTGTCCACTGAGTCAGTGATGCTGTCTAACCATCTCATCTCCTGCTTCCCCTTCTGCTTTTGGTTTCAATCCTTCCCAGCTTTGGGGTCTTTTCCAGTGAGGTAGCTCTTCACATCAGGTGGCCAATATATTGGACCTTCGCTTCAGCATCAGTCCTTCCAAAGAATATTCAGGACTGATCTCCTTTAGGATTGACTGGTTGTATCTCCTTGCTGTCCAAGGGACTCTGAAGAGTCTTCTCCAGCACCACAGTTTGAAAGCATCAATTCTTCGGCGCTCAGCTTCTTTATGGTCCAGCACTCACATCCATAGATGACTACTGAAAAAGTCACAGCTTTGACTGTATGGACCTTTGTCAGCAAAGTGATGTTTCTGCTTTTTAATACACTGTCTAGGTTTGTCATAGCTTATCCTCTGCGGAGCAAGCGTCTTTGAATTTCATGGCTGTAGTCACCTTCTGCAGTGATTTTGGAGCCCAGGAAAATAAAATCTGTCACTGCTTCCATTTTTCCCTCTTCTATTTGCTATGAAGTGATGGAATGGGATGCCATGTTCTTAATTTTTTAAATGTTGAGTTTTAAGCTAGCTTTTTCACTGTTCTTTCACCTTCATCATGAGGCTTTTTAGTTCCTCTTGACTTTCTGCCATTAGAGTGGTATCATCTGCATATCTGGGGTTGTTGATATTTCTCCCAGCGATCTTGATTCCAGCTTGTTATTCATTCAGCCCCATATTTCACATGATGTACTCTGCATGTAGACTTCCCTAGCAGCTCAGCTGGTAAAGAATCCACCTGCAATGCAGGAGACCTGGGTTCAGTCCCTGGGCTGGGAAGATCCCCTGGAGGAGGGCATGGAAACCCACTCCAGTATTCTTGCCTGGAGAATCCCCATGGACAGAGGAGCCTGGTGGGCTACAGTCCATAGGGTCACAAAGAGTCAGACACGACTGAGCGACCAAGCACAGCACACAGCACTCTGCATATAAGTTAAATAAGCAGGGTGGCAGTTTACAGTCTTTTCATACTATCCCAATTTTGAACCAGTTGTTCCATGAGAGGTTGTACTGTTGCTTCTTGACCTGCATACAGGTTTCTCAGGAGACAGATAAGGTAGTCTGGTATTTCATCTCTTTAAGAATTTTCCACAGTTTGTTGTGATCCACACAGTCAAAGGCTTTCGTGTAGTCAATGAAGCAGAAGTATAGATTTTTCTAGAACTCCTTTGCTTTCTCCATGATCCAATGAATGTTGGCAGTTTGATCTCTGGTTCATTCCTCTGCCTCTTTAAAACCCAGCTTGTTTATCTGGAAGTTCTCAGGTCATGTACTGCTGAAGCCTGCCTTCAAGGATTTTGAGCATAACCTTGCTAGCATGTGAAATGAATACAATTGTATGGTAGTTTGAAGATTCTTCAGCACTGCCTTTCTTTGGGATTGAAATGAAAACTGACCTTTTCCAGTTACCTTAGTTCTCATTAAAATCAGCTGCCCATGTTAAGGAAGCACTCGAATCTCATGTAAAAGAGCCTTCTATTAGGCTGGCTTCAGTGATTGTCACTCATTTATGTAATAGCCAAAGTTAACTCAGCTTTGTGCCTGAGTTTATAAATTTTCAGTAATGGCAAAGTATATGCCAAATATTTCCATTCAGAGGAAGGAAAAAAGAAATTTTACTCTTGGAAATATAAATTTTTGCCAATTATACTGAAAAACTGACTTCTGTCTCAAAGGAGAAAAGGAAGTAAATGTGTAAATCATCTCGATGAGAGCCATTGAACCAAAATGAAGAAATTTGGGTTATTTGTAATACATAATATTTTTAAGAGCGACACTTTAGAAATTACATGAAAATATTTAAAAACTCTTTATGTTACTCTGTTCTTCGGTAATTCAGAATGTTCTCAGGACTACTTTGCTGAAAGGAAGAAATAAAATCTTTTAAATAATATTTCTTCCCTTAACCCCATCTCAATTAGTTATATATATTCCTTTAGCCCATGAGTTTTGCATCTGATTTTAACTTTAAACAAAAGTCATAGCTGTTTCTTGGTTTAGTAACTGCTGATTGGTTCATTAGGAAATACTGTTTCCACAGTTACTTTAATTCTTCTGATTCATTTCCTGCCCTTCCCTCTTTAATATGTGAAGTGTTAAAGACACAGAGTTTTTCTAAGCATTAAACTAATCTCTCTGGAAAAAAGAAAAGATTCAGGTGTTTATTCTCCCGTGTATGGTAAGGGCTACTTAAAAATCAGAGGTTTAAAGAATTGCCAGGATATACATAATATATAGGGCTTCCCAGGTGGCTCAGTGATAAAGAATTTACCTGCCAATGCAGGAGACGCGGGTTTGATCCCTGGGTCGGGACAATCCTCTGGAGGAGCAAATGGCAACCCACTCCTGTATTCTTGCCTGGAGAATCCCATGGACAGAGGAGCCTGATGGGCTGCAGTCCATGGGGTCACAAAGAGTCAACAGGGCTTAATGACTAAGCAACAACAACAATGTATATATAATGCATAACTGAATCACTTTATTATTCACTCGGAACTAACACAACATTGTAAATCAGCTATGAAAGTGAAAATCAAAAAAAAAAGAAAGTGAAAATCAAAAAAAAAAGAAAGTGAAAATCACTCAGTTGTGTCTGACTCTTTGTGACTCCATGGACAGTCCATGGAGTCCTCCAGGCCAGAATGCTAGAGCGGGTATCCCTTCCCTTCTCCAGGGGATCTTCCCAACCCAGGAATCTAACCCAGGTCTCCCGAATTGCAGGCGGATTCTTTACCAGCTGAGCTACCAGGGAAGCCCACAACATTGTAAATCAGCTATACTTCCAAAAAAAAAAAAAAAAAGAATTGCCAGGCATTCTGCATAGTTCTCTTTGATAAATCATGCTGGCACAACAAAGCAGCCTCCCACATGTTACAGAAATAACAGATCATGTGTTCACAGGAGCTAGAACAAAGACACATAAGGAATTGTATTAAGATGTGGTTCTTGGAATAACATTAGCAAATATTTAGAAATTGTGGATTGTGGAGTTCGATGAGACCCAAGGAGATTTGCAGTGTGTTTGATTTCATCCGTCGGTGTTTATGTACTGTGGATCCCTTGAGTACTCAAAGCTTGCTCTTTTTCTGATTATAGGTGAGATGATTCAACTTTTCCTGTTCTAATATTTTCGCAAAGGTTTTTTTGAGAAGTAAGGAAGACAGAATGGTTTTTGGAATTGATTGTCAGGCAGGAACAAACTGTTAGCATTTCTGTTTGTAAACCTCGTTGGATTAAACCCCTGTAGGATATTCCATTCGCAATACAAATTTTGGTTTTGGACTGTCTTTGGGAACAACATTCCATGAGGAAAGCAGTTTTTGCTTATTTCCTCTATGATGACTTCAGCTCTCCCTGGAAGGGAAATTGGTTTGAAAGTTTGAAAATAACTGATCTAGTCCATATGCCTCTTCCCCTCCCTTCCTTTCTTTCTCTGCTGTGGAAATCTGTGTGGGATTGTTTGCTGGAGTAGATTTCCTAATGTTTTATGTTGTTTGTCTCTAGTGTGTACATAGCAATATGGTTTCCATCATTCTTAGGAAGAATATTCTACAGTATTTTCTATAACTAGAAGGTAATTATAGGCTCCTCTTCCTAGTTCACAATCAAAATTTTAATTTTATTACTTTCTCTTATATTTCTGGAATAGATAGTTCCCTTTCCTTTATAACATTTCAGTGTACTTTTGAGTATACTTCTCAAATGTACATGAATATTTTTACTATTTTTGGACCTTGTGTACCCAAAATGCATGTTTACTCTCAAACATCTTTCCTATAGCCCGTAACAATAACCTTATATGTCTGGATCCTCATATTTGTTTATAATGCTAATATTTAAGAATATGGGTAACTTTTCATTTGAATTACAACTGCAAAAATCATTAAAGAAAAATCTTTAAAAGAATAAACTCATCCAAAAATGTGGGAATAATCTGTGTATTTAAAGCACATGTTTCTCACATGTTATTTTTCTTGCAGTGGACTGACTCACTGCTTATGGATTGCCAGGATTGCTAGAGAGACAAGGACAAAGGAGAAAAGAACATTTTTCTCAAGCAACTTTGTTGGTTATCATCTTACATTAATATAATGCTCCTAACAGTTGTTAATTCTGGACACTAAATATGTTAAATCAAGATTAATAGTTAATGGAGAAGGAAATGGCAACCCACTCCAGTATTCTTGCCTGGAGAATCCCATGGACAGAGGAGCCTGGCAGGCTACAGTCCATGGGGTCGCAAGAGTTGGACATGACTTAGTGACTAAACCACTGGAGAAAGACTAACCTCAATTTGGCAGCAAGTGACAACTGTCCTTAAGATTTCTTTTTTTTCCCCCTAATAGAAAAAGAAAACACTTGGAAAATGAAAATAATAAATTTTCTATTCAAATGTAAAAAAAAATTAATAGTTAAGAAAAAACTTGGAATTTTAAAAACAAAGAAAAATATACATAGAAAACCTAATCAGTTTATCCTTTTAAAAGTAGCTGTTGATCTTTCCTCCTTTTTAAGCCCAGTCTGTATCTCTCTCTTGCTGTCTTTTATACACACTTCCCAGAAGCAAAGAAAGAATTGTAATGAATAATGCATGTTAAATGTAACATGGTTTTTTTATTTGGGCATATTTGAGAACCTCCTACTTTTATGACATATTTCTAAAATAAATTGTAATATTAGTGTTCCCAGTAGTAAAGAGAGTATTTCTTTTGTCTAAAACTTTCTAAGTGAGATTATCCTCTTTTTGCAAAAGTTCATGGGAGCAAAAATAACTGCGCCTCACCCTGCCTTCCAAATGAATAAATGTTTCACTTCTTACTCTGGGCATGCAAAAACTTGAGCCCATTGGTGAGGCTTGGTCAATACAGAGAGTGCAGTAGCCAGATTTCCTGCATGTTGTGACATGGAATGACAAGCAATCTCTGTAGGAGCCTGTGCTGAATTCATCTAGAAAGGAAATATCCTTTCCCACTTCTCTTACCTATATTAAATGGATTTTGTGTTAGAACAGCATGTCATCTTACTAAAGATAATTTTAGATTCAAAATAGAAAACTGTAAAGGTTTTATTTATAAAATGGATCTTTCTCTGAATGAGAATCACTAATAAGTTAATATCATCAAGCTGCAAAACTTGTTGGTGTTTATTTTAACTTGTACTATTCTGGTCTTTTTTTTAGCTTGTATTAAAAATAGATGATATATTTGAGTCTAAGAGAGGGAAGAAAAGGGTAAAGTTACACCCTTACACTGGAAAAGATGTACCTCCCTCTAAAGGTAAGAATTGTTCCAGCTGTCCATAGCTATTAGCATATGATAGGAAGATCATTATATAATTTAATGTTTGATGTGAATTATAATTTTTGGTTTACTTTCCTGTCTCTCCCACTTAAACATAAAACTTCTTTAGCCTAAGGAATTATTTCTTGTTCTTCCTCAAATCCCTTTTATTTAGTTCTGGTTGTTGTTGTTCACTCACTAAGTCATGTCTGACTCTTTGCCAAGTAATAGCTACAAATTTAAAAATAGTTATAGACCAATGAGAATGATTTTTCATAGACAGATTTCATCCTTATCTTGTAATCCTTTGATTTATAGTCTTTTGTCAGTGTAGACTCGTTCAGTGGAGAAATGAAAATATTAGGTATATATATACTGAAGGTATGTGGTATTCAACCTGTAGTCATCTAATAAGTTCAGTAGTTTTGTCCTTAAGATGCCTAGATAAAACTTAGATTGTCTTGACTGAGAACCTTTCAACATTCATAATGAATTATTAGACTTTACAACTAACTTGCTTGTCTGGCACAGAATATGTAGAAGTTAGAAATTTTTATATATGAGATTCATAAGTGAGAAACAACAGCCAAATCATACCAGAGAATAATGTTTCATATTTTTGCAAAGACTTCCAAAGACAGAAATTTCTTAATTTCCATTAAAAATCTATTCCTCTTTCTACAATTGAACTATGTGAAAATAAACTTCCTCATTCAACAATTCAAAACTCTTTCTTCTTACTTTGTGATGATTAAAATCATCCTGTCACCATTTAAAATGTGAATTTTCATATTTTCAGAAGCAATTATTAAAACATTTTAGTCTTCTATAGAAGAAATACTTCTAGTTATTGTTAATAATAATAGCTACTACTTAATTGAATGAAGTAATGGTTTCTTTATGTACTTTATCTGGCGTATAACATGACCACACTGGGAGGTGTGGGACTATCCTGATTTTACAGAGTAAGAAGCTGAGCGAGAAGAGGAAGCATCTATTTGAATCAAGAAACATGACACCACAAAGTCTTATTCTTCTTTATCACCAACAGTTAACTCAGTTTTTCTCATAAGTCTTGATTTTTAGCAGTTTCACTATCTCCTCTCTAGATGTTTTCATATATCCAGTAAAGATATGGTCAAATGCTCTTCATTTGTATAATTCAAAAAGAGATACAAAAAAACAAAACAAAAAAAAGAGATACAGAAGATGAAAAGTAATGCCAGATATTCTGCTGGATCTTTTCAGATACATTATGATTGTCTTTTCTAAATAACTGTATGTAGCAAATATTATTGTTTTTATAGATAAGGAAATTATAAATTGCAAATTATATAAAATATCAAGGACAAATTCTTAGAAAAGATTGTCAGTTTTCCCAGATTAACAGCAATCTGTTGATAAGTATATTCACCAGATATGCTACTCTAGGTAGATTATCAGTGATCTGTTATTTGTATGCTTTATGGATTAGGAAGATTTTAGTAAAATTGACTCTAAGAAAAGTTTTTGAAGAGTCAAATCCTTTTTTTCACTGTCTTTATTGAAAAGAACAAAAAATCAACAGCATAAAGTGCCAACATGTAACATATACACACGAAAGGGGGAGTCCCGACAAGTTTATTTTCTTTTGCATGGCTCAGAGGAAATGTGCATTTACCCAGTCTCTGTGACCAACTTCTTCAGTGGACAGGAGGAATTTCTCTCATGCTTGAGGACTCTGGCTCAGTAGTCACAGTTCTCAGGTTTTTGTTTTCCTCCTTAAGCTTTTGTCTGTGCATCAACAATGCCTCGTAGAACCAGATAATTTTTTTTACCTACTCTGCCAGTACATGCTAGGTTTTACTGAATCTATTCCAACCTAAACATTTCTTAACTCTCAATTCTCAAGTATCACAAAATGATTTACTGCCCTTCTTCAAAAGTACAATTTTGTGTGTTGAAGTCACTTATCAAAAAGGGACAACCTAGTACATTTTTGATCCTTATAGATTCTCAATATTGGCTTATAAACCCCTTAACCTTCATTCCATGTCTTGGAATGTAGGTCATCAAAACCCAGAGGTGAATATGTTAAAGCAATATAAATGATCTTTTCTAAGGTCTTTGCCAGGTAAATTACCTTTCCTCCTTTCCCGTTTTCTCCTTCTTTTCTTTTCTTTTTTTCCCAGACACCTCACAGGCTCCCAAGAGGTGCCTGGTGCCAAGGATATAGATAGGGTTCAGTAGCTCGCAGTGTTTATTCTTACTTATTGATCAATAGGAAGAGCCCCACTATACTTTATGCCATTGTAGTTAGTTTGAAGTTATAGAACCTAGATAGTACACAATATTTAGATAGCTACCTTTTCTGTAACATCTCTTGTGTACTTTTCATGCCTATCTTATGGAGAGACAGTATTTTTTTATCTTCTCTTCTCCCTTATTGCAAAACTAAAATGAGCACAGCAAGAAATTGCAAATATAGAATAAGATAAAATGGAAAGCCAGTGTTTCCAGAATTTCCTGCTACTACTCCCAGAAAATTTTATGTACATGCAAATGTTTTTTCTCCCCAAATAGCTTTATACTATGTCTTGCTTTTAAAAAAAAAAAAAAAGTATAATTAATATACTTTGGAGCTCTTTCAGTATCAACACACAGAGATCCACATATCTACAATGCATTTCTTTGTATAAATGTAAAAGAATTTTATTTAGCTGTTTCTAACATTTTATTTAACCTGTGGATAATTAAGGTTTATAAAGAGATAAGGTTTTTTTCTCTTCAAACAATGCTGTGATGTACATTTTTTACTTATATATATTTTTGTATATTGGTTAGAATATATCTATAGAATGAGTTCTTAGCAGTGGACTTAATCAATTGTCTCATAAATAGATTGTAACAGCTTACATTTCTATGAACAACTTTTGAAAATGATATTTTCCTCACTATCTTAGTTAATACTGTGTTTTATTAGAGATTTTTATTTTTTACCAGTATCATGGTTGAAAAGTATATCTTACTTATTGTTTTAATTTACATATTTTAAATTATTAATTTGGACAGTTATGTTTATCAAGATTTATCAGTCTTTTTCTATAAATTGCCTATTTCTACCCTTTTATTCATCTTTTGTTGTGCTGTGTTTTTCCATATTCATTTATGACAACTATTTGTATATTAAGAAGACAGTCTGGTGTCTACAATGTATACTACAAATATTTTTCCAGGTTATCTGCCTTTTGAATTTACTAATGATTTTTTGTTAGATTAGAAATTTTACATTTTTATACAATCAGACTTACATACATTTTTCATTTATAACTCCTAGTCCTTGTTTTTCCTGATACTTAAAACTTTACCCCTTTCTTTACATATTAAAATTTCACTTTAACTTTTTAGATTTAATTTAGAAATTTTTCATTCTCTTGTTTACAATGTTTTATGTTTTGGTTTCTTTGTTGTTGTTTTATAAATTGCCAATACACCTAGAATTGTACAGAATATTCCTTTCTGAAAGCAAAGCCCCTTAGCCCCAAAATACTTAAAGTCCAATTGTGGAAAATAAGAGCAGTTCAAAGCCGTCTGAGTACTGTAAGAATTCAGAGTAAAGTTCAGTTCAGTTTGGCCTTCAAGGTGGCTTAGAAGCATCTTAAAAGAGGTAGAATGTTATTTCATAAATTCGTTTGGTAATCTTTCTTAACGTCACATTTTCTTGTTAATCTAAACTCATAGTTTAGATTAATTTAAACTCATAGTTTGTTCCATGTTGAGGTTTTGGTTAGCCAGGTTGATGCTTCTACCTGTGATTCCTTATTTGGGAATCAAAAGACAAATATGTCTACATTCTATGAATGTAGAAATAGAATCTACTCTAACCAAGACTTCCTGCAGCCAGTTTGGACTGCTGTTAAATTCTAGATTTACGGGTGCAAGGGGAATTAAGGAGGGAAGTGGGTGTGGGAAGAAGGTGGAAAGGAGTAGTTTCTTCTCTGAGCCTTTTATTCTTTTTACAACTGTCCTGCCCTGATACAGCTAAGTGGTTTGGAGAAAGTTTCAGCCTGCTTATTATTCCTTGCTCTTAGGTCCCCAGGTCTATGGAACTTTTACATTATTCTCTTCCTCATGTTCCTCCGGCTGTTGTTGGACAATACAAATGGAAACTCTTTTTTTTCAGGTGAACCCAGTGGGTATGAAAGTGACGCTGAGTATCTACCAAAGAGTGAGTGAGTCAGTGGTGCTGCTCCCTTTCGCGTGATGATCCTGGTTTTAGGTGGAGTGGCACCTACCTTTGTGATGAAGCATATGTTTTCTACATCAAGTTTCACTTTGTCGGTGATTTCTTCATTATAAGATCCTGTTGAGATTTAGGGAACTAAACAATACACCGCCAGATGTTGTGACAGCATTAAAAATCTCCCATAGTTGAGAATGGATACATATATATATGTATGGCTCAGTCCCTTTGCTGTTAACTGTCATAACATTGTTAATTAGCTATCTACCAATACAAAATAAGAAGTTTAAAAACTCTCCCATGGTGGTGTGAGGCAAACCTATATATTTCTTAAGATGGAATGTTCTGAGGGGAGTGGCAGAGCTGCGTGTTCAGACACATATGCAGCGTTTCCCAGAAGCCAAAACAGCATGAGTCATCCTCTGAGACAAAAATATCTGATTTTTTGATAGTCACTCAAGTGTAATTCTTTTTTTTTTTCCAAATGTAATTCTTTTAAGTGTCTTAGCTACCTCTGACATTGAGATAGGCAACACTGATCTGTTTCTTTTTCATAGGCATTTATATTCTAAATTACTGTGCCATTTACTTTCAGTTAAGAGTATAAACTATTCCATGCATTTTTGGTTGTACTTGTTCAAGTACTCAAAGGCTCTGTATCCTGCATCTAGTGGATTTTCACAGCAAATTATTTCGTTTCTGTTTAACTGAGGCATGGAAAAAGTAGGAGACATGAAATATCAAAGCCAAGAACAGGGCAGCTCCAAGTCTGATATTTCTGACTTTATGATTAATAATCATGTGCTCCTACCAGTAGCTTCAGTTGCTTCAGGTGTTTGATTCAGTAGCCTGATTTAAGGTGAAACTTAAGTCATCATCAAGTTCAACTTGGATGTGTAAAGATGACTGACTTAGTGCTGTTGCTACTGAGAATCAGGCCCTAAAATTTTCTTGATCTGAGCTAAGCCCTTTGGAGTAAGAAGGCTTGCCTAGAGCACCTTTTTAAGTGCTCTTAATATTTTGATCCACATCATAACTTCTTTGGGGCAGAATGCATCACATCTCGAAAGAAAAGCAAAAAATTAGAGGGTGAGTCTTTCAGTCATTGGCTTAGAATGCTGCTGCTGCTGCTGAATCGCTTCAGTCATGTCCGACTCTGTGTGACCCCATAGACAGCAGCCCACCAGGCTCCCCAGTCCCTGGGATTCTCCAGGCAAGAACACTGGAGTGGGTTGCCATTTCCTTCTCCAGTGCATGAAAGTGAAAAGTGAAAGTGAAGTCACTCAGTTGTGTCCGACTCTTAGTGATCCCATGAACTGCAGCCTACCAGGCTCCTCCATCCATGGGATTTTCCAGGCAAGAGTACTGAAGTGGGTTGCCATTGCCTTCTCTGGCTTAGGATGACACATAAGCAAATCTCTGGGATGCTTAGATTATTTCTTCTGCAAGTACTGCGTCCCCCCTAGTGGAGACTATCCCAAATTATCCAGAATTTAGAACAATGAGAATAAAGGATAAATGTTATCCACTTTTGAGTGGGATTGCTCACACTGTTTAAATAGTACGCGTCTATAAATTCCTTCTTTTGAGAAACAATCTGCTAATGAATATCTCCTTATTCATTTTTTCCTCTTGTGTTTAGCACCATTTATTGATATATGTCCATCATTCATAATACATGCCAAAGAGAGAAGGGAAAACAACAGTTTGTTTCATGTGAGAATAGTTTTGTTTTAATTTTATAAAAATTGCCTCTTTATGTACTTACCTTCCATAGGACTCAACTATTTTATCAGATCTTTTCCCCCACCTATGATTTCATGGTCTCAGCAGTGGCATCTGTGGTCTGACCAGTGCTTTTACCTGACCTTGGCCGTGTGTTCTGGTGTCATGCCGTGAAAGAGGGGATAACGCAGAGTATGTGTTGGGACATGCCTAGGTATCAGTTGGGACACAGAACATCAGTCCCACTGCAGAGCCCCCAGGTGCCTGTGAGAATCTGCACTTGTCCTCCACGTGTAGAGCCCTAACAAGCATGTCTGGGTGGCAGACGTTCATTAGTCAACGTTCATTAATAATGACTGAGTCAAGATTAGCCCCACATGGGTTATGACCCCTGGGTGCTAGAGGGAAGATAGGGCTACAAAGAAAGACAATGCTCCCTGATCTCATCGCAGGTCGCCACAAGCGCATAGCACAAATGCAGCAGTCTTCCAAGAGGAATCCGCACTACCAGACTTTAGAGCGGGATCTGATTGAATTACAGGAGCAGCAGCTCTTTGAACTTTTTGTGGTGGTGTCTCTACAGAAGAAGCCGTCAGAAGGAAGCTACGTTCCCGAGGTCATACAACAATTCCCTAGCAAGGTAGGTGCACAGAGGCCATGAGGCATCCAGGAGTGGACGGCATTCCTGTGTCTGTGTATTTATCCCTCTCCTCCTGTTTACTGTGGTCTCCATCGGCTTTTACTAACGCTGTACTTCTTGTAGGACATGGATCTGATGATATCTTGTCATTATTCAAGTTGGGTTTTTATTTTTGCTCTACTGCTTACTAAGTGACCTTTAGCAAGTTCAGTTCAGTTCAGTTCAGTTGCTCAATCATGTCCGACTCTTTGCAACCCCATGAATCGCAGCACGCCAGGCCTCCCTATCCATCACCAACTCCTGGAGTTAACTCAAACTCAAGTTATGAAGCCTCAGGTTTCTGCTTCTTAATGAGAGCGAGTGAATGAGTGAAAGTCACTCAGTCATGTGTGACTCTGACCCCACGGATTGTAGCCCGCCAGGCTCCTTTGTCCGTGGAATTCTCCAGGCAAGAATACTGAAGTGGGTTGCCATGCCCTCCTCCAGGGGATCTTCCCGACCCAGGGATTGAACTCAGGTCTCCTGCATTGCAGGCAGATTCTTTACCCTCTAAGCTACCAGGGAAGCCCCATTCTTTTTTTCTTTTTTTTCCATTTATTTTTATTAGTTGAAGGCTAATTACAGTATTGTAGTGGTTTTTGCCATACATTGACATGAATCAGCCATGAATTTACATGTATTCCCCATCCCGATCCCCCCTCCTGCCTCCCTCCCCACCCCATCCCTCTGGGTCTTCCCAGTGCACCAGCCCCGAGCACTTGTCTCATGCATCCAACCTGAGGAAGCCCCATTCTTAATGAGGGGAATGATAAATGTGGCAGAATAAGGTAGCAGTTCAGAGCACAGACTGAGCCAACTGTCTGCAATTGCCACTTATTAACTCTGTGACTTGGAGCAGTTAAACTGGTCTGGATCTTGTTTTCTTCATTGGTGAAGGAGGGGTAATCATAACAGTGTCTACCCCATATGGTGAGGATTAAATGAGCTCATTATATAATAATTAATATAAGGCACTTAGAACAATGTCTAGCATATAGTAGCACAATATAATGTTATCCCATATTAGTGAGGATTTAATGAGATAATGTATGTAACATGCTTAATGCAGTTTCTGGCACATAGTAAGCACGTGATAAATGGTTACTGTTATTAACAGTATTATTTCCTTTACTCTGCCTTTTCCACAAAATCATTCATTCATTTATTTCATCAGTATTTCATAAATGCCTACTATTTGCCAAGATTATATGCTGAGAACACAACTAAAATAGATCTTCTTGGTTCCTGCCCTCACAGAGCTTACAAAATAGACCCTAAATGTGGCTCTGAGCTTTGTGACTGTAAAAATAAAGAACATGATCATTACATCAGGACTTACAAACTGATAGCCTCTGAGCTTATTGAGCCCACAGACATATTTTGGGGGGGTTGCTGTAATATAGTAATAAAACAGTAATAAAGTTTTTGTTGTCAGTTTTTTGTTTAAAAGTCAAATTTCACATAGAAATCTGTATTTTGGCTTTTTCCTGAGAAACTAGAAAGACTGCCGGCACTCAGCCCACATTCCTAAGTGGCATGAATTGACTGAAGCTGAGTAAGGAGCTTCATGGGCATGAGACCAGTGCAGTCACTGGCCCCTAGAAGGGCCCTGCTCCACAGGAAAGTCTCAATTTGTATTTGAATTTGTGTTTTCTAAGTGAGGAGTGAGGTCTGATGAGACAGTGGGGCGTGTGCCAAGGTCTTAAAGCCTGGGCTCATGGGTGGTCTCACCTGCTTCCTCCCCCGGTGGGCTCTCTAGCTGCCCTCACTCCTGCTTCCTGGGTCCCCAGGTCCTGTCGGGCTTCCCCCTTTCCAGCCTCACTCACTGGCTGCTGCCACCCTCTGCGGCGTGCATGGGGGGAGTCAGGGTCAGGCAAGCATTAACCCCGCAGTGTCTTAAGCAACGCATGGTCTTGCTTAACGCCTTAATGCAGTGTCTTAATGCCCTGCCCACTCCTATTCAGTGGGTGGTCTAGAGGGGCAAACCTTTTCATCACCCCCAATCCAAGTACTGAGCATGTGCCTGTGTGGAGGCTACAGCCCCTTGAGGGTTGCCCAGCTGCTATGGGTTGGAGTGGCGGGCTCATGGTAAGGGAGTTACCCCAGCCCCCCCTAGTTAGGACACAGGGTTTGAGTCCTGCGCCTGGCCCGAGGGGAAACCCTGCAGCTGGTGGGTCAGTTGTGCACCAGACTGTGGGCCAGGGGCCCTGAGCACCTGTGAATGTCCACACTTATCCCCAAGATCCTCGTGCCTGAGGGAGCATGCCTCTGAATACAAAATAAAAAACCCTGTTTTGTTTTAGAAATTAAAAGATAGGTCATTGATATTAGTTACATGAAGGCAATATGGTAATTAGAATTATCTGCTTATTTTTGTACTACTTTTTAAATGTCTTTTGACTTAACTGGATTTAGACTATTCTTTAAAGTATAATACCAAACTTACACAAAAGGGTCTTCCATGCTAGAATTTTACAGGAAGTCGCAAACCCATAATTAGGTAGCAAAGATTACATGCTAAGGGAAATGATTATATGTGGAGTGGATTCTAAAAATACTATTTTTTCTAAGTAACAGTCATCTGACTTTTCAAAACACCTTGGATTATTGATCAGAGAGTATCTTGAGCTGACTAGGTTTTTGCTATCAATATATTATAAAATAGATTTTCATTTATTTTATATTCCATGATTTACAAAAATATTCTGACTAGTATGTGAATACTTGAACTAAGATTCTTTCTCTAGATAAGAAACTGTTTTCAATAATTTCTCTCTTACATCAGATTATAGGATCTCCTCAAGTACCCTCTCTATATAAAAACAGAATTCTTTTTACTTAGAAACTGTTCCTTTGAAATTTTCAGTGATTAACAGTCTTGGCCCTCCTGTTTTATAAAACTGCACAAAAACCACTCTGAGATAACTACCTTGACTTATTGGATACCTCTTTTCCTGAGAACAGGCTGAGTTTTTTATTTCTACACTCCACTTACATAGAATATTAGTCACTTCCAGTGTTTTTTTTTTTTTTTTTTTCAGGGTGATCATGGCTTTAAGCAATCCAGAGACACTGAAGAGAGGCTCAAAGTTATCCCCAAATTTTGTTTTCCTGATTCAGAAGACTGGGTGCCAACCTCAGAACTCAAGAGGTAAATAGACTACTTTATCTGATTTCTGTTTGTTGAAACTGCAAAAGTAGAATCAGAATGTTCGAGAAACAGATAGAACCAGTAGTGAAGCTATGTATACTCTGTGGTGGGGAAGGAAGAAACAGGATTAGGACATTTCCTATGTGGGGCTCCCAAAAGAAAAGCACAGTGTCAACGGGAAAACAAGTTTGAAAGTCTCTTCAATTTGCCAGTTCTGCAGAAAAAAAAGTTCCAGTTTATATACAATCAGAAATGCCACCAAGTGGACATAAAAGGAAAAAAATACTGAACTTAACTCAGAAACAGAAACAAAACACGGCAGTGTCAGCATCTTGTATCTCCCTCAAATTGTTAGAAAAAGCTATAGCCCAGACTGTATGTTCCCCTATCAAACTTGTACAAAAAGGAGGCTGGAGTTTGGAAGGTGTAAGTATACTGGAAAGGAATTATAAGAAATTTCTTCCCAGTATCTAGAGGAAATTACTATTTTCAATTAATAAGACATCATCATCTCATATCCTGCTTGTAAATAGATGACTGCTTCTTTCAAAACTGGAATTACTGGTCATGTATTTAGGCTGAAAAGCATGATTATGTGAACCATATCACATGCTGATGACCTGCTGGAAGACAGCCTCAGCTGTTGCCTAAGTGGCTGTGCCCTTCCACGCCGCGTTGCCTCCAGACTAAGCTGCTGCCTCTCACAACCAGTTTAGCCTGATCACCACTCTCATCTCTGAGCCATCAATCCTGATGCTTTTGTGCTGTCAGTTGCACTGCTAACCACATAGGCAGCTTCTTTCATATGGACCTGGCTGCTCCATGGTTGCCTTTTCCCTCTCCCCAGGAGATATGTGTGTTCATTCTAAAATATATGGGAAATACAGAGGAGTAAATAAAAAGCAAAAATTACAAGTCACTGGCATTCTGGTTTACTCAGAGATAATCACTGTGTTTTGAGATGTTCCCTTCCAATCTTTATTCTTGGCCATATATAAGCATGTGTATATAATGTTGTTCAGATTTGAATTCCTTTTGATTGTTAATGAATTTATTTCTTGGGCCTCTCTAGGTCTTCATTTTGTGAGTTACCTGTGCATTTTATCTTTTGCCTGTTTCTAATGAGGAGATGACGATTTTCCTATTAATTTTTATATATTAAGGATATAATCTTTTGTCTATCACTGTTCCATATGACCTCTCAAAACTAAGTAGAAGAATTTGGAAAGGAAGAATAGCTTATTAAAATCCTTTTTAGTTTACCTATGTGTTTGGCTAAGCTGAACATTCAACAGAAGGAAAATAGACTTGATTAATAGCTGACCAGATAAATAAGAAAGTGACAGGAGGCAGTGGCTTCAACAGCTCATCCGATACCTGTTCTCTCACTCCAGTGCAAAGCAAGATGTTCTCAAGGGCTGGACCTTTGAGAATTTGAGAATTTTCCCTCAGGATGAACATGACTTGCAATAATATAATATCAATGCTTCCTCTTACATCACAAAATGGCTGCTGTTAGACACTAATTTTTTAATTGCTTGTTCCAAGGAATGTGATAAGTAGTTGTTTGAATCTCAAACTATTGACTGTTTTTTCAGTGAAACCTTCTCCTTTGTCTTAACTGGTGAAGATGGGAGCCGGTGGTTTGGTTACTGTAAGAAACTGTTGGTAAGTACCAGACTTGTGCTCCAGGCAGCTTTGGTCGAGAAACAATAGAGTCGACTAGGAACTTCAGAAGCATAATCTCTAGATGAGTCTGGGGACTACTCATTGATCTGTGTATTACAAAGAAACTGTGTTAGCTTTAAATAGTAAGAGCAGGGTGGAGGTTAGCCACAGAGTGTTTCAGAATAGAAAGGGTATGGATTTATTTTATTTGTTTGTCTGTAATAGATAGTGAAAGCACTGACATTGTAGCGGAAGTCAGTCTGCTTATGTTTGAGGAATGGAGTACAGTGAGCAAGTCGAGGGAGCTCTGAATTACTTTCTTCTTGCTTAGATGCCTTCATTAAGCTGGAATAAATCATACCTTTTTTTTTTTTTTTTTTTAGCATTTTTCCATCTTTCAGTGTTCATTGAGAATGAGACCTTTGGTTCCTACTCTATACTAAGGAGTATTAAGAGGTACTAATAGTCCAAATTAGTAAAGACTTGTGTTACTTAATTTTTGCTTTGTTGTTATTGTTGTTGTTTAGCCAGAAGGCAAAGGAAAGCGACTCCCTGAGGTATACTGCATGGTCAGTCGCCTAGGCTGCTTCAACCTTTTTTCAAAGGTGAGTGGGAATGGGTGCTATGAAAGGTGGTGTCCTTTCTGAGCTCTGAGTATGTCTTTGTTTCTGATGACTTCACTAGGCAATGTTAAGTGGCATAGACTTTTAACATTCTACTTTAGAAAGGGTTTTCAATTAGTAGATTCCAACTACAGGTTTGAAGGCTTAAACTTAGATCTCTAAACCACATGATGTTGCCCTATAATTCTCATTTTGGTTTGCTAAACCTTGCTGCTTAAAGCGGAACTTTGCCTGAAGTTTATCTTGTCTCATGTCTTTCCCAGACACCGAACTGCAGGATATTATTGTGTTACCTTCTTTGCCCCTTCCTTGGTGATAGAAAAAGGGGCTGCTTTATAAAATTAAATTGATTTATTTTAATAACTCTTCTTAGAGATTTAAAGATACTCCAAGAGAAAGGAGGCCTTTAATGAACTTTTATTAAGGGTGGCAGAAGCTTATCTGTCTTAAAATTAGTGATTGTATTATTTTCAAGTTTGTGCACCCAGTTTTTCAGTTCCTTTAATAGAATTCTTTTATGTTTTTGAACTGAGTCCTTAATTTAAAAAAAAAAGATACGTTTTGTGTATATAGATTCTGGACGAAGTAGAGAAAAGAAGAGAAATGTCTCCAGCTTTGGTTTACCCCTTCATGCGAAGTGTCATGGAAGCTCCTTTCCCAGCTCCTGGACGCACCATCACAGTGAAGAGCTACCTCCCTGGGGCTGGAAATGGGGTGAGTTAGTTAATTTTGAGGAGACTCGCTAGCTGCCAAAAAGCAATCCTTATGCTAGTGGACCTTACGTGATAGAAACCTTTCTCCTTTTCATAAATTGCACAGAGTGTGTTTCAGTCACAGAAGTACTAGAGAATCCAGTTCATCTGTGAGATTGTTGATCCTAGACCCAAGAACCAGAGGTTTCTCTACCATTCATAGACCGAACCACTCATAAATTGACCTGCATGAGGTCAATTTCAATATGATAAATGTTGTCCAGTGGGATGAAAGATTTCACCAGAAATTTACGGCATGAAACTAAAGTATTAAGTCTTGAGATCAGTGTAGGCTGCTTCACAAACTCTGCAGCAGCCCCTCTCTCTTGAATTTAATCTGTAAAAGAGTGACAGGGTCCATTAGTATTGTCATTAGGGATCTTTTCCCACCTCAGCTCCCCTGATTAAAATGTTTGCATTTCAGTCCATTGAACTGTGCCGGCCACTGGACTCGCGACTGGAACATGTTGATTTTGAGTGTCTCTTTAAGTGCCTCAGTGTGTGCCATCTCATTCGAGTCTGTGCCTCTCTCCTTTTGGAGCGGAGGGTAATCTTTGTCGCCAACAGCCTAAGGTGAGAAATAAGTAAGATATGTCACTTCAGACTGGGGTTTTACTTGTTCTTAGTGTTTTAGAATTTGGGCACATTAAAAAAAATGTTTAGGTAGGATCTCAGTTACTTAATGCTGTAGCGACATGAATAATCCAAAAGCTATTTGCATTCAGCTATACCAGTTTCTTTTGAGGGTTGCAATTAATTTACCTTCAAAATGTGTTCTGTTGAAACTTGTTAAAAATTGGTATTGCTTCTCTGAGTATACACTAGTTTTTAGCAATATAAATTGTGGGAAACAACTGGATTGAGATTAACGATTTTCAGAAAATTAAGTTAAAAATTTAAATAGGATGTTAATGAGTAATCACAGAATTGTTCATCTGCGATCACTGGCATCTGTTTGTAATCCTGTAATTTCATATCTGACATGCCCACCATATGTTGCTGTTTATGTGACACCAGTTTGCTTTCTCCTCTGGATAGCACCCTGTCAAAATGTGGTCATGCAGTGGTTGCCACACTGTATCCATTCACCTGGCAGCATACCTACATCCCAGTCCTGCCAGCATCTATGATTGACATTGTATGCTCACCTACTCCATTCCTTATTGGAATCTTGTCTTGCTCCTTACCACAGCTCCAGGACCTACCCATTGAAGAGGTAATATGGGAGAATTAGTACCTGTACAAAAGATTGGCTCACTGGCAAATGAAAACAAGTGATTTTTAACAGTGATGGATATGTCATTAATTAATAATAACATGTACTTATTATTGTTATGCTATCATATTTTTGTATCTGCTTATTAAAATGAGTAAAATACTATAGTACACATGAATCTGAAGTTATATCTTATTTACAGCATTGAACCATGTGCTAATTCTTGTGTTATTCTGAAGAATAGGTCTTTAAAAAAAAAAAATCATACAAAAAACTACTCTGGGTTAATTTTTAAATTCTTTCAAATATAACACACATACAGATAAGTTCCCAAAACAAAATGTACAGCTCAGTTAATTATCACAAAGTGAATGCTAATGGTAACCAACACTGGAATAGAATAGAGACATTACAGCCATGGAAACAAAGTCCTCATCATGCCTTCTTTTTCTTGCTTTAAAATTTTTTTTAATATAAATTTGTTTATTTTAATTGGAGGCTAATTACTTTACACTATTGTAGTGGTTTTACCATACATTGACGTGAATCAGCCATGGATTTACATGTGTTCCCCATCCTGAACCCCGCTCCCATCTCCCTCCCCATCCCATCCCTCTGGGTCATCCCAGTGCACCAGCCCCAAGCACCCTGTCTCATGCATTGAACCTGGACTGGTGATCCGTTTCACATTTGATAATATACATATTTCAGTGCCATTCTCTCAAATTATCCCACCCTCACCCTCTCCCACAGAGTCTAAAAGACTGTTCTTCACATCTGTGTCTCTTTTGCTGTCTCGCATATAGGGTTATCGTTGCCATCTTTCTAAATTCCATATATATGCGTTAGTATACTGTATTGGTGTTTTTCTTAAATTTTTAAAAAATTATTCTGACTTATTGTTTGGCCACACTGTGTGGCATGTGGGATCTTAGTTCCCTGACCAGGGATCAAACCTCTGCCCCTGCATTGGGAGCTCAGCATCTTAACCCCTGGACTGCCAGGGAAGTCCCCCATCATGCTTTCCTCAAATCACTGTTCTCTTCCCCACTCCTTGCAAAAGGTAACTATTATCTTGACTTTTTTGATGCTCATTTTCTTGTTTTTCTTTATAACTTAACATCCTAGGCATGTATCCCTAGACAATATAGTTCAGTTTTGCCTGGTTTTAAGCTTGATATAAATGGATTCATACAGCAATATTTTTCTTTTCTTTTTTTTCTTAGTCTGGCTTCTTTCAAGCAACATTATATCTTTAGGATTCACCCATGTTGATGAGTTTATCAGTAGTTTGATCATTCTGATTGTGTATAGTAATCCATTGTGTGAATGTACTGCAATGTTCTCATCCATTCCATAGTTGATGGACATTTGCGTTGTTTCCAGTTTGGGGTTATTATTAATAATGCTGCTATAAATATTCTTGTTCATGACCCTTGGTACATATGTGCATGCAGTTTTATGGGCAAATATTTGGAAATGGAATTGCTGGGTCATAGAGCAAACATATCTTCAACTTTAGTAAGTAAAGTCAAGCTTTTCCAAAGTAGTTGTGCCAAGTTAAGCTTCCTCCAGCAGTGGATGAGAGTTCCTGTTGCTCCATATCCTTTTCAGCCCTTGTTGTGTTCACTTCATATCATTTAGCTTATCAGATAGTTGTATTTTATTTTGGTTTTATTAGTATCCCTTGATTGTGGTTGAGGGTGAGCATCTTTCTATATGTTTATTAGCCATTTGAGTGTCATCTTTTGTAAAATTCATAGGCTATCCTTCTACTGAATTATTTACTTTCACTGATTTGTAAGAGGCCTTTTCATACTCTGAATGTGAACTCCTTTGTGGTTTGCCTTTTCATTCTCCAAAAAGATTTTTTTTTAATATGGAAATGTTCTTAATTTTAATGTGGCCAGAATTGTCAATCTTTTTTTTTTTTCCCCTATGGTTAGTGTTTGTGTGTGTGTGTGTGAACTGCTTAAGTTTTTCTTAATATTAGCTTCATGGAAATAGCCTCCTCTGTTAGCTCCTGGAAGACTTAGCTCCTGGAAGCTTTATTATTATGCCTTTAATTTTTGGCTCTTAAGCCTGGGGATTGGTTTTTTATTTTATTTTTTTGTATATAATAGGAGGTGGGGGAATTTCCTGGCAGTCCGTGTTAGGACTCAGCACTTTCACTGCTGAGGATGTCGGTTCAGTCCCTGGTTGGGGATCTCGCAAGCTGCGCATGTGACCAAATTAAAAAAAAAAAAGAAAGGAGGTAGGGATCGTTTCATTTTTTAAATATGGATAGCCTACTATCCCAGTACCACTTATTGAAAAAACTCTTGTCTATTACACTGATGGGTTAACCTCACCCCTCCAATTTTATTGAGAAATGATTTACATATAACACTGTATTAGTTTCAGTGTACAACATAATGATATGATACCTGCATTTATTTGAGGGCTTCCTTGGTGACACTAGTGATAAAGAACCCACCTACCAATGCAGTAGGCATAAGAGACATGGGTTTGATCCCTGGGTCAGGATAATCCCTTGGAGGAGGAAGTGGCAATCCACTCCAGTATTCTTGCCTGGAGAATCCCATGGACAGAGGAGCCTGGCAGGCTACAATCCATAGGGTCACAAATAGACATGACTGAAACAACTTAGTACACATGCACGCATGCATATATTTCAAAATGATTACCACAGTAAGTTTAGTTAATATCCATCACCTAACATAGTTAGAAAAAATTTTTTCTTGTGATAAAAACTTTTAAGATGGTTTCTTAGCAAGTTTCAAATATACAATATAGTATTGTTAACTGTAGTCACCATGCTGTACATTACGTATCCAGCACTTACTTACCTTGTAACTGGAAATTCGTGCCTTTTGATTCCCTACACCCATTTTATCAATCTTCCAACCCATCTCTGGCAACCATCAATCTGTTCTACGTATCTATGAATTCGGTTGTTTTAGATTCCACATGTAAGTGAGATCATATGGGATTTGTCTTTCTCTGCTTGACTTATTTCACTTAGCATCCATATTGTTACAACTGGCATGATTTCCTTCTTTTTATACCTGAATAATATTCCATTGTATATATGTACCACATCTTTATCTAGTCATCTGTTAATGGACAGTTAGGTTGTTTCATTGTTATGGCTGTTGTAAATAATGCTGCAGTGAACATGGGAGTGCAGCTATTCTTCAAAATAGTGACTTTGGATACATGCCCAGAAGTGGCATTGCTAAATTATACACTGGTTCTATTTTTAATTTTTTGAGGAACCTCCTTAATATTTCCAGAGTGGCAGAACCAATTTACATTTCCATAAAGAGTACACAATAGTTTCCTTTTCTCTACATTCTTTCCAGTATCTGTTATCTCTTGTCTTTTATTAATAATCATTCTAACAGGTGATAATATCACATTATGGTTTTTTGGTCTGCATTTCTTTGATGTGGAGTACCTTTTCATATGTTTATTAGTCATCTGCATGCCTTCTTTGGAATAATGTCTATTCAATTCCTCTGCCTATTTTTTGTTTTTTTTTCCTCCACCTGTTTTTAAATTGGATTCTTTGGGGTTTCTTTTTTTGGCTGTTGAATTGTATGAGTTCTTTATCTGTTTTGGATATTAACCCCTTATCCAGTATATGATTTTTAGGTATTTTCTCCCATTCTGTAGGTTTTCTTTTTATTTCACTGATGGTTTCCTTTGCTGTGCAGAAGCTTTTTAATTTGATGTAGTCCCACCTGCTTATTTTTGCTTTTGTTACCTTTGCTTTTGGTCTCAAATCCAAAAAATCATTGCCAACACCAATGTAAAGATGCTACCCCACTATGTTTTCTACGAGTTTCATGATTTCAGGTCTTATGTTTAAGTCCTTAATTCATTTTGAGTTGATTTTATGTATGGTATAAGATAGGGATCCAATTTTATTTTTTGGCATGCCGCTAATTTTCCTATAACCATTTATTGAAGAGATTGTCCTTTCCCTGTTGTGTATTCTTGGCTCCATTGTCAAAAGCTAGTCGGCTATTTGTGAGGTTTATTTTTGAACCCTGTATTCTGTTCCATGAAGCTATGTGTCTGATTTATACTAGTACTACACTGTTTTGATTCCTATAGCTTTGTAATATAGTTTGAAATGAGAAAGTATGATGGCCTCTACCTTTATTCTTCTTTCATAAGATTGCTTTGGCTATTTGGAGTCTTTTGTGGTTCCACAGAAATTTTAGAGTTGTTCTATTTCTGTGAAAATTGCCATTGGAATTTTGCTAGCGATTGCATTGACTCTGTAGATTGCTTTGGGTAGTACAAACTTTTTAACAATATTGATTCTTCCACTCCATGAGCACAGAATATCTTTCCATTTATTTGTGTATTGTTCAGTTCCTCTTACCAGTATCTTATAGTTTTCAGCATAGATATCTTTTACCTCCTTGTTTAAATTTATTCCTAGGTATTTTATTCTTTTTGATGTAGTTGAAGATGAAGTTGTTTTCTTAATTTATTTTTCAGATGCTTTATTGTTAGTGTATAGAAACATTTCTAATTTGGGTATTAACTTATTTTTTAACTTGTTACTATGGAAATTTTAAACATATGTAAAAATGAAAAAAGTAAAATTAATTACCCTCCTTAAATACTTATAAAATTTAGGCTAATTGTACTGCCTCTCTCCCATAATATTTTGAAGCATATCCTGATGTTATTTCATAATTCTAAATATTGTAATATAAATCTCTAAGCCTAACATCATTTCAACATAATCACAATACCATTATCATACCTAAAAAATTTAATAACAGTTTCTTAATATCAGAAAAATTCAATATTCAGATCTCTATTTCATAAATTTTTAACAGCTTGAATTAGGTCCCAAATAAAGTCAATGCACTGTATTTGGTTGGTGTGGTTTTTTTAGTCTCTTTTAATCTCTAGGTGTGCCACCATCATTTTTTTTTTAACTTGAAATATTTTTTACTAGTGTTGATGAGTTAGCTTTTAAATGGGCTAAAACTTTAAGTTAATGCATAACAATATCAATCACTTTATATGCTGGAAACTATTATAATATTTAAGTCAGTTATATTTCAATTAAAAACAAAACCAAAAAACCCTTTAAGTTTATTTAAAACTATTCCCATTGCATGGAAGAATCAAAGCATTATTCCTGATCTAACAATGCCTAATGTATTTCTCTCTGAATGTCTCAGGTTTAACTTGTCTGGCTCCTTTATTCCATAGGTGCTGATAGTTGATCTCTGTGCAGACAAGTTTTTACAGGAGGTGAGTGACAAAGGAGATGATTACATAATGTTTGGGGATAATTGGCCAGAAAATATGTGAAAGTACTTAGAGAAGGTGACTCAGGCAAGACCTATAGTTCCTACACACACACTTGACTTGACACTGGCCAATCATACAAGATTGACCTGAAAAATTTGTCTTGGGTTCATAGCTGTCTGTCTCAATTTAAGGAAGGAGGAAACAGATTAAATGTCATTCTCAAAAGAGGTAACCCTCCCTTCAAGTCTTATGGGTTGATGTATAGGCCTCTAATTTAATTAAATTTAACAAGCATTCAACACCAATTATTTCTGGATATTCTTCTAGTCAGTCAGAAACTAAAGATGAGTAAGACACTCAGCTTGATCCCTCAGGCCTTACAGTTTAAAGGGGGAGAGGGAGTAGATATAGCCATAAAGTTTTAGAAATGATATATATTTGAAATTTGCATAAGATACAGTAGGGGCAAAAAAGAAATGGTCACTTATTCTGGATAGTGAAGAGGAGAATTAGAAAAGCCTTAGAGCAACCCTCTGTATGTAATCTGTATATAGGTTTTTGAGCACTGAACACAGGGTGAAAAGAATGTTTCCCGAGACTTTCTTTTTTCATAATCAATCAGCTCATCACATTTGAAGCACCGTTTATTTGGGAATGATCTTTGTAATATATCATAAGACTTGGAGATGAGAACTATTTGGTATGGAAACTTCCAAAGAGTCTTATAAGACATATTTATTTTTCTTAAATTTAATTAAGATGTTCCCTGGTAGCTCAGATGGTAAAGAATCTGCCTGCGGTGCAGGAGACCAGGGTTTAATCCCTGGGTCAGAAAGATCCTCTGGAGAAGGGAATGGCTACCTACTGTAGTACTCTTGCCTGAAGAATCCCATGGATAGATGAGCCTAGCAGGCTACAGCCCACAGGGTCATAAAGAGTCGGACACCACTGAGCGACTAACCATAAACATCATGGATCCTGTTCAATGTAGGGAAGGAAGCTTCAGACAGACTCTTTTTAGCCGAAATACATACAAAGCCACCTGTGGAACTTGGGGGACTTTAATAGGGCCCTAAGTTTGAGACTTTCTCTCTCAAAGCTCATGAAAATCTCAATTTTCTTCTCTTAAGGTATCTGATGAAGATGACATTCTACCACCTAAACTGCAAGCTGCCCTGATACAGATTTTGGAAGAACGAAATGAAATATTGGCTCAGGAGCAGAATTTTTCACAAGGTATGAGACAAGTGGCTGAGAGTTTAAGGTCAGGACAGTAAAAACCAAATGCCCAGCATCCTGCCAAAGCATATACAAAAATAGTATGAGATTGCCTGTGCCTTCATAAGCTGATAGTCAGCTTCCTTGCTCACCCTTGATGTGCCAAGTCCCCCTTCTATTTCAGGACTTTGGCACTTGCTCAGTTCCATGTATGGAATGCTGTTCCCTTAAGCACATGGCTCCTGCTCTTTGTTCTTGTAGGTCCATGCTCAAATGTCATTTTCTTAGTGAGGCTTTTCCTGACTGTCCTGTTTAAAATTGTTCCCATTCCCTTAGCACTTCTTGTCCTCCTTCCTGACCTAATTTTTCTCCATGGCCTTCATCACCATCTGATGTGCTAGAATGTAAGTTCTATGAGAACAGTGACTGTCTATTTGTTTTCTATTCCCAATGCTTTGAACTTCCAGTTTGTTTAGTATTTCCAATACTTTCCAATCTATTTCACTAAATAGGTATTCACTAAGTATTTGTTGAATGAAAAGATGAATAATATTTATTGGGTGGCTTACTGTATGCCAAGCATTGTTTTAAGCACTTAGCATACATCTTATTTGATCCTCATAATATCTGTATGAAGCAGGTATTATTATTTAATCCCCATTTTACAGATGAGAACTCAAAGGCTGTTAGAGAAGGAGCAAGTTTAAAGGAGTAACTAAAAGTTCAGTTTTGAACATTAAGTTTGAGATACCTGAAAGTCGCCCAGTTGTGTCTAATTCTTTGCAACCCCATGGACTGTATAGTCCATGGAATTTTTCGGGCCGGAATACTGGATTGGATAGTCTTTCCCTTCTCCAGGGGATCTTCCCAACCCAGGGATCGAACCCAGGTCTCCCATGTTTCAGGCGGATTCTTTACCAGCTGAGCCTCAAGGCAAGCCCAAGAATATTAGAGAATATTAGAGAAGATAGCCTATCTCTCCTTCAGCAGATCATCCTGACCCAGGAATTGAACAGATCGAACCGGGGTCTCCTTTATTGCAGGCAGATTCTTTACCAACTGAGCTGTCAGAGAAGCCCATAATTTCAGAGAGATTTATATCATTCTCTTAACAGTTTCATCTTCCCAACCCAGGGATCCAACCCAGGTCTACTGCATTGCAGGCAGATTCTTTACCAGCTGAGCCACAAGGGAAGCCCAAGAATACTGGAGCGGGTAGCCTATCCCTTCCCCAGTGGATCTTCCCGACCCAGGGATCAAACCAGGGTCTCCTGCATTGCAGGTGGATTCTTTACCAACTAAGCTATCAGGGAAGCCCCTTAAGCTACCTGTTGGATACCTATCTAATATCTGGCAGACATTCAGCTGGAGATATCAAGTAGGCATTTATATACAAGAATTTGAGATTCAGAGGAAATTAGATTAGAGACTTACATTGCTATTTTAAAGCTGAGAAACCAGATGAGATAACCCAATAGAGTGAGTATAAGTAGAAAATTTAAACGATTTAAGGATTGAGCCCTGGTTGGGAACGATGTGCTTGAATTTACAACTTTTGGCAGTTGGGAAGAAAAGAATCCAGCAAAGGAGACTAAAAGGAGCAGCTAGTGAAGTAGGTGGAAACACAGGAGTATGGATTGCAGAAGCTGAGTGAAGAAAGTATTCCATGAAGGAAAGAGTAAACAGTTACATTTAATGCTGCAAAGAGGCCAATAATATGAAAACTGAGAACTGACCAGTGGATTTTACAATGAGAACGGCTCTGGAGACCTTGGTAACAGCAGATTCAATGAAATGGTGGGAAGAAAGTGAGACACAGGAAAGTTCAAGAGAAAATTAGAATGACCTTCATCTTTTTCTGAAATTTTAGCGGAAGTGCAAAAGGCTGAGAATAGCTAAGACACTCCTAAAAAAGAACAAGATTGACAAACTTGCCCTACAGAACATCAAGATTAATTATAAGATCACAGTAATTGACATTACTTGGTTTGGGTTCAGAAATAAGCAAATAGAGCAATAAAAATGGGAAGACTAGAGAATGCACATGCCTAAGGAAACTTGATTTGTCTGTCAGCACCAGCACTGAATAGCAGTGGGAGAAGAATGATCCATTCAATAAACAATTCTAGGGCAGCTGGTGTTCCACATGAAAAGAAACAGAGATGGATATGTACTCCACGTTATACACAGAATTAATTCTGATAAATTAAAGACTTAAATGTTACAAGTAAAATATTAAAAATGTTTAGAAAATGATAAAGAATATTTTATGTTTGGGGACAATAATGGATTTCTGAAATGTGGCACAAAGAGCACAGACTATAAAGGATGAGATTGGTTAATTTGACTCTGCTAATTTAAAAAATATTGACTATTTATTTATTTGGCTGCGTTGGGTCTTTAGTTGCAGCATGTGGGATTTTTTTTTTTCTTTTTAGTTGTAGCACATTTTTTTGTGGCATATGAGGTCTTTTTTAGTTGCAGCCGCCTGTTGGGTTCCAGTTACTGGACCTGGGATCAAACTCAGGCCCCCTGCATTGGGAGCATGGAGTCTTAGCCACTGGACCACCCAGGAAAGTCCCTGACTATGTTAAATTTTAAAATTTTCTGTTCATCAAGGGACACCATGGAAAAGGAATAAAAAACAAGATACAAACTAAATGAAGACATTTTCAACAAATATAACTAACAAAGGAAGAGTATCTAGACTTTAGTTTTTTAAAAATTCCTCCAATTTAAAAGTAAAAAGATGATCAACCCAAGAGAAAAATGGGGGAAAGATATGAACAATCATTTCATAGAAGAGGAAACATGAAAGGCCAACAAATATATGAAAAGATACACAACCTCATCAAAATCAGGAAAATGTAAATTAAAACCACGCTGAGATACCATTTTATATCTATCTTATTGGTAAAAATTTTTAAAGTCTGACAATATCAAGTATTGATAAGAATGTTTAAATTAGTTCAGTACCTTTGAAAAACAATTTGGCATCATCTAATAATGTTAAAGGTGTATATATCCTACAACCCAACAATTCCATTTTAAATATATACAAAAGAGAGCTCTTGCACATGATAACAAGGAAGCAAGTACAGTAATTTTTGTAGTGGTATTGTATGTGATAGCAAAAACTAAAAACAACCTAAATGTCCACTGACAAGAGAATATAGCATTAAAAATGAATCTTAAAAACACACACTGAGGACTTCCCAGTGGTTAAGAGTCTGCCTGCCAATGCAGGGACACCAGTTCGATCCCTGGTCCCAGAAGATTCCACAAGCTGTGTATCAGCTAAACCTGTGGGCCACAACTACTGAAGACTGCACACTCTAGAGCCTGCACTCTGCAGTAAGAGAAGCCCACACACCGCAACTAGAGAGTAGCCCCCACTCATCACAACTAGAGAAACGAAAGCCCAGCCAAAAATAAAAAAAATTTTTTAAAAGATTAGTTTAAACATACACACACACTGAATAAAATAATAAGTTTCAGTAGAATATAATGTTTTATATAATGTCCAAAGACATAGAGAACCTAACAATAGTGTAGTTGGGGTTGCATGTGTGTAGTAAGAGTATGTAAAGTAAATGAAATACCAAAATTCCAAATGACAGTCACCCTCTATTGGAAAGTAGGGGAAGAACACCACTGAGAGGGCATCACACAGAGAACTTCAGAGATTGACGTGATGTTCTGTTCTAAGCTTGATGGTGGGCATTTGTGTGGTCATTTTACTGCTGGGCTTATGAAATATTCATGCGTGTAAAAGAATGTATGATGTATATACATTAAAAGAGAAACAAAGAATGGGAGATAAGGTATGGAAAAGCATAATTTTTAAAAGAAGGGGAATCAGGTGTAAGAAAGTGGGTGGTATAGTTGCTAAGCCGTGTCCTACTCTTTGTGACCCTATGGACTATAGCCTGCCAGGCTCCTCTGTCCGTGGGGATTCTCCAGGCAAGAATACTGGAGTGGGTTGCCGTTTCCTTCTCCAGGAGATTGTCCCAACCGAGGGACTGAACCTGGGTCTCCTGCATTGGCAGGCGATTCTTTACTGCTGGGCCACAGGGACTCCCTCAGTATAACCAAATCTTCAAGAAATTTTTTGCTGTAAACTGGAGGAGGGATGGGACAATAACTGGAAGGGATGAGAGAGTGGGGCAAATGTGTTGACCATAAAAGCAGTGATGGATTCTCAGTTGCAGAAAAAAAAAAAACAGATGAGAAGAAAGTCTGTTGAACAAAATATAATGGAAATCTAGATTAGAAAAAAAACATAAGGACTTCCCTGGTAGTCCCAAGGCTAAGACTCCGAGCTCCCAATAGAGGGAGCCCGGGTTCAGCCTCTGGTCAGGGAACTACATCGCACATGCCACAACTAAGACCCACCACAGCCAAATAAATAAATAACTTAAAAAAACTTAAAAATGTAATGTCAAGAGACGCGTTCGGGGGAGAATGGATACACACTTATGTATGGCTGAGGCACTTTGCTGTGCACTGAAACTGTCACAACAGTGCTGATTGGCTGTACTCCAGTATAAAATAAAAAACTTAAAAAGATGTAGTGCTAGGAGAGACCTTAGAAACTGCCTATCAGCCGCCTCATTATGCAGATACAGAGAGAGAGGCCGTGAGAGGTAAAACAAGTCGCCCCCTATTACACAGCTGTTTCATGGTAGAAACCTGATTAAACCTCGGTCCCAGATTCCCAGTCAGCCCATGTGAAGGAGCAGGAGACACTGTGAGGGGAAAACAGTACTGTTTCGATATGAGAGGGAAAAGGAGGAGCCTAAGCTGATCCTGGGCTTTGAGCCTGGGACCTGGAAGGCAACACATTGTGCTGGATTACAGCGGGTAAGAGCCGCCCAACTTGGCAGTCCTGCAGCTTCTCTCTGGCACTGGGTGAGGTGGCCTGAGAATGTCTTTGATTTGAGCTTGATTTTCCTCAGCTGTAAAAGGGAAATGGGATGTCTGCCTCACTGATTATTACTGCATTTGTAAAACCACTCATTAAATTATTATTTATTATGGAATACTCATGATACAATATGAAATGAGAAAGTTGAGTGAGAAACTGATTTGGTGGAGAAATATAATGAATTTGGTTTTGACATGCATTGTTTATTTATGTGATTCATAGTCTACCAGTTTCCTGAAAGGACCTGAGATGGTGACTTTTTTTTTTTTTTTTTTTGGCTGAGCAATGCTACTTGTAGTGTCTTAGTTCCCAGACCAGGGATCAAACCCGTGCCCTGGGCAATGAGAGCACAGAGTCCTGACCAATAGACTGCCATTAATTCCCTAGATGGTGACTTTTAGACAAAAGGAATATAAATACTAATGGGACAGCCAGTTGATGATCACCTAATATGTAGCCTGAAAGTGTGGAAGGTGAATTTTTGTGAAATATCAGGACTGGAGATCTGAGGTTGAGAATTACTGACAAAGAAGGTCAGCTCTCTCTCCATGCCAGTTAGCTCTCTAAGGAAAGGAATGTTGAAGAGAAGGGGTCCAAAGACCAATCCCAGGAAGAGGAAGAAGAGTCAAGAGTAAAACAAATGTTTGGTCATAAAGGCAGGAGCGGAATCAGGAGGAGCATCAAATTGTGGGAGACAGAAGGAATGAGGATGAGGGCAGCACAAGTGCAGGATAAAAACTGAAGAGTAGATTAAACTCAGCTGGTTCTCACTGGTGGTCTTTGCAAGAGCAGTTCCAGGGGAATTACAGATGTGCAGACCGCAGTATGTGTGGGAAGACAGTGAAGGTAAGGATATAAGCCATTTGCTATTTTTCAGGCATGAAGAGGGCAAGAAAGCTGAGAAAGAGGATTCCTACATTTATTCTCTGACTTTTAATCTATGATTCCCTAAGTGTCACTTTTATAACCAGAGCCAGTGTCCCTATAAACGCAAAACTTAGGGGATTTTTTTTTCCCCTTTCTTTTTTCTTTCATTTTGCAGAAGATGTGACACTCAACTCTCTGGTGTCCGAAGCATTTGTCAGGTTTTTTGTGGAGCTGGTGGGACATTATTCTTTGAGCATGACTGTCACTGAGCGTGGGGAGCGTGTATTCCAAAGGGAGCCATTTCGTAAATCTCACACCTCCCGAAGTGTACGCCACTTCCTGGATCTCTTCATGGAAACTCAGATGTTTGCAGGATTCATCCAGGACCGAGAGCTTCGGAAAAGTGGGGTGAAAGGTCAGTTTCATCATAAAGGTCTCCCTCTGTATTTAGTGAACATTTGAAAGATTTGAAAATAATATAAACAAAAAATAATATAAGGCTACAAGGACTCAAGATCAGTTGTTTATTATGGGAAAATTTTATTTTGTGATACTGTTTTAGCTCTGGAAGTACACTGGTAATGAGCACAGAGTTTTATTCAGTTGATTTTCAGTCTTGAGTGTATGACAGTTTGAACAGCATGAGTTTTCTTTGTAGGTTTGTTTGAGGTCAGGGCCCTCCAGTATTTGGAAACAATTCCTGAGTCTGAGCCCAGTGGAGTGAATAGAATTTTGCGAAGTCTTGGTAAGTTGCTGTGTTTTCCTATCATTATTAGATAACCATAGTTTAAAAAAAAAAACAAGATAACAAACTTTTGTGTAAGCATGCCTCATCACAAAAGCTTTACCATCACATCAACAACATAACCTCACATACAGTGACCAGAAATCATGACCCCTATTTCCACAGTGTTTGGAGAATGACAAGACTCTCAGAGGTTAGGATTCTCCATCAGAGTTTTCCATGGGACTGTTTTCATCAGATGACGCTTCTTCATGATATAAGAATTTTGCATATCATAGTTATTCATCTTTTCTAGGCCATATCCCATGGAGAATCTTATTAAAAACTGCACCTTTTTCCAGCAGAATACCCTTGGAGCATATAAACACATTTTGCATATACTTTTAGGGTGTTCATGGACCCCCTTGAAGCCCATCCATGCACTCCAGGTTAAAAATACCTGGTTCAGTGCTCGCTTCGGCAGCACATATACTAAAAATTGGAACAATACAGAGAAGATTAGCATGGCCCCTGCACAAGGATGACATGCAAATTCGTGAAGCGTTCCATATTTTTCAGAGTGAAGTAAGCCAGAAAGATAAAGAACATTACAGCATACTAACACATATATATGGAAATTTAGAAAGATGGTAATGATAACCCTATATGCAAAACAGAAAAAGAGACACAGATATACAGAACAGACTTTTGGACTCTGTGGGAGAAGGCGAGGGTGGGACATTTCGAGAGAACAGCATCGAAACATGTATATTACCTATGGCGAAACAGATCACCAGCCCAGGTTGGCTGCATGAGACAAGTGCTCGGGCCTGGTGCACTGGGAAGACCCAGAGGAATTGGGTAGAGAGGGAGGTGGGAGGGGGGGATTGGGATGGGGAATACATGTAACTCCATGGCTGATTCATGTCAATGTATGACAAAACCCACTACAATACTGTAAAGCAATTAGCCTCCAACTAATAAAAATAAATGAAAAAAAAAATACCTGGTTCAAAAAAAAACAAAAAACAAATACTTGGTTCAGTGGGAGTCTGAAACAAAAGAAGATTTCCTGCAAGTCTTTTAATTTACACTTCAAATTATGCCTAGGGCTGTTACTTCATCTAGTGTTAGATTAGATCAGTGGTTTTCAACTGTGACTACAATATTATACTCTCTGGAGAACATAAATAAACTTCAGGGAATTCCCTGGAGGTCCTGTGGTTAGGATTGGAGCTTCCACTGCAATTGGCATGATTCACTCCCTTCTTAGGAAACTAAGATCCCACACTGCAGGCTGCAAGGTGCAGCAAAAACAACAATTAATAAAATCCACTCCCACCCCTCACCAGGCTCCAGGAAATCTCTGGAGAGCAGGAAAAGCGATTTTAACCTGCAGTCAGATTTGAAAAGGGCGGGTTTAGATGATGTCTGAGTTTCCTTCTATGTCTACAATTAGACATTTGGGGGTTCTGTGTGTGTATGTTTGGTTTGGGTTTTTTGGTGGTTAAACACATCAACTGATAACTTGAGATGGCAGCTTACTCCTGGGCTGTTCTGAATGACTAGGTTTAATCCCTTGCATCAAATAATGTATCCTAAATAAAAATGAACTAATGAGAGTTCACTCTTTTTTTCCTTTAGGAAGTAAAATGAAATTTCTGCAGAAGAAATGAAATCTTGACTGCCTCCATCCTGAATAGAACAGAATGTGCCAAAGAAACTATTTTTCCAAGAATCAGGATGCCCTGAAGTATTCTACAGAATGTTGAAAGGTTACAGAGTGGGCCAGGTTCTTGGAGGAGGATTCTCCTGTTGCTGCTGTAGAATCACTGGAGAATTGTGGGAGTAGTCTGGAACCTATACTTCCTTTATTCTGTCTGCCTCCAGATTTTTTCAAGTGGCCTTTTGAGTCTTGGCTCATTCTTTGTGTTTTGAGTTTAGCAGATGAAGGCACTTATCTTTTATACAAGAGAAGGACATGGTGTTGCATTTTTAAAAACAGCTCAAAGATGAGCACAGCGAGAAAAGTGCTGCATTTAAGGTACTAGGGAGGCATGATATAAGTAGACGACACAAGCCCTTCACACATAATTCTCATCACTGAAATTCCATGGCAGCTTTAAACGTATGGGCTGTTTAAGGAATATACTCATCTCTTTTTTTAGGGGCGGGGGGTGGGGGGAAGTGTTTAAAGCTAGGGGAATCTCACATGGAAGTCCTATTTATTAACACTGTTGTTGAGTATCTTATAAAAATAGACACCCTACAACATTCCTTGCACATTGTATGGCACTTGGGTAGCTTGTCCCTCGTGTATCAACACTGGGAAATTATAGCTAATAGGGGGACTTCCCTGGTGGTGCAGTGCATAAGACTCCACACTTCCACTGCAGGGAACACAGTTTCATCTCTGGTCAGAGAGCTAAGATCCCACGGGCTGTGTGACATGGCCAAAGAGAAAAAATATATAGCTAATAGGAAAATTTTGTCTCGAGGGCATGAAAACTACCTTCTTTTTCAGGGTCCATCTTGGGCCATGAATGGTATGTGTGTGTATGTCATCTTTAATTTAGTCTTTAAATCAACTGTTTGCATCTCTCATTTCATTGATGAAGAAAGTGGAATTCAGAGTTTAAACTGAAGCCAGGACTATTCATTTTTTAACACAAAGCTGATTATTCCTACAGATGGAAAATTGGGGTCTGTGGGATTATAGCTATTGGAAAAGGTTTTTTTTTGTTTTGTTTTAAGCTGAAGTGTGCCAGAGCCAACTTGCAGCTCTGAGGATACAGGACTTCATGCTACAGGTGTCCAGCTGAAACTCTCCTCATGGTTCTTTTAGAAATGTTGTGTTTTTTCTCTAAATTGGACTCAGAATATGGACATTTCCTGGGCACACACCACATAATCACCCCAACTTTTAATATCTAAAGTAGTAGCAGTGATTTTAAAGAGAAATTTGTCAGCCATGGTGTAGTTTTAATTGATAAATGTTATAGCAAGTGTCAGTTTGTTTTCTTCAACTCCTGCTGATGGCTTTAACTACATAAAAAATATTCAAACTTAAAACATTGTTGTGTTATGATACAACTTACTGACTTGTACAGTATTGTCATTACAACCCATTCAGGTGTGTGTGGATGGATCTGAAGCAGACAACATGTAAGATGGGTGCTGTATAATACAATTCCTACAGATGTGGGTCCAGAAAATAGAACTGAGCCCTTGTCTTTAAAAAAAAAAAAAGTTTATTAAGCAGCTTACCCCAGTGGGACTTTTACCAGACATTTCCCCATTTGGTCTCTTCTGACACTCCCACCCTGAGGGAACAATCCGTAACTGGGAATTGAGTGTTTATCCCTCTGTGAGGAGCCCTTTACTTCAGGAATGGGAGTCTTGTTTTTATCCCTCCCATCTGAAGCTGCTTCCTTAAGTCTGTTTTGTTTTGTTTTTGTACAGAATTACGAATTCTGGACATGTTTGTAAGATAATCGCTCAAGATTTGTATAAAATGTTGTTCACAGATCTTTTAATGAATAAACACAAAAAAATACCATGGATCTCTTGGAGAATTTGAAATAAAATTGCTTAAATTGTAAAGATCTTTTACTTCATTTAAATCTATAGCTAACACACTTATCTAAAGGTAGGTAAAGGATAAACGGCCCTAGAGTAACCAAGCCTAATAACCGTGGCCAACATTTTCAAGCTCTTGGCGAAATCGGGGTCTAGATTTGCACACAGGGCACAGTATATAGTGCTACTATCAAAGGGAACTGGAAGCCAGGGACCAGAGACTGGGCATCAGCAATAGCAGGAGTGGCTGGAAGCAATGAGAAGAGCTCTTCTTTACCGAGAAGTGTAAAGGCAAAATGGCTGGATTTTAGACACGCCCTGAAGGCAAAAACCAGCCTTTTTAAAAGAGGGGATTAACGTGCAGCCACCCATCTCTCCCTGGGGCGGGGAGATCAGGTTCGTTTCCTTCTGCAGACCTAAAGCTTCGCAATTTAACTGGAGACTAGAGCCCACTCCCTGCATTTAGTCACTACAAAGCTTCTCAGGGCGCCGAGAACAAAGAATAGTGGGAATACAGCAAGGAACTGCAAAGGGAAAAAAGTTTAAGGGAAGAAGGGGGAAGGTTAGGGGAGTAATGCCGAGGTGGGAACCCAGGATCTTTCTCCCTGCCAAATCCTGCAGCCAGTTCCCTCCAAAGATTTTAAAGGATTCCACTTCCAGATATTCGAATACTGGTCGAAACCGAAAGCCCCAAATCTCCCGCACTTCGCTGCCAGTCGACGGCAAAAAGATGGAGCAAGCGGGGACAGGAAACAGACGTACCGGGGACTCTGGGAAACCACGAAGTGATGTCATATCCGACCAAAACAAAAATGGCCGGGCAATTTCTAGCGGGCGCACCCTCAGAATTAAGAAGTGGGCGTGCGCCAAAGCAGATACACGGGTGACGTCATTACGTTAGTGTCGGGCGTGGGCGACGTGATTACGTTAGCGTCGGGCACTGGAGCATTGAAGTGAGCCTGAACCCCCGCAGACTTAGACTCCAGTGAACCTAAGGATGGCGGGCACTGGTTTGGTAGCCGGGGAGGTTGTGGTGGATGCGCTGCCGTATTTTGATCAGGGTTATGAAGCGCCTGGTGTTCGCGAAGCGGTAAGTTCGGGGTTTTGTGTAACGGGCTCAGCGCTGGCTGGCCCATAGTGCCGGAAGAAGCGCCTAACAATTTGCTGCTCGTACCCTGCCCTCTTCTCGTCCTTAGGCTGCGGCGTTGGTGGAGGAGGAAACTCGCAGGTACCGACCTACGAAGAACTATCTAAGCTACCTGACGGCCCCGGATTATTCTGCTTTTGAGGTAAGTGTGATGTTTTGAGCCCAGCGCACAGTGAACCCTTTTGGATCGAGAGCCTTTGCCTTAAAAGCCTTCACTTAAAAGTGAATTGTAAATTCCAGCTTAAGTGTTACTTGCTTCACTGCTACTTACCCTGTTGTCAGTACTGTCAGTCAGTTGAAAATAGCTGCATAGATAAGCCTCCTCCAGAGTTCTGAGACCCACAAGACTTCCTAGGGCTCCGCAGACTGACCTAACAATGCAAAAATTAGTGTTACGTCCTTCCAAGATAGGTTTTTTGCGTAAATTCTCAAAGGGATCCTCTTCCTCTAAGTATAAAACAAGTGATCTAGGCTATTTTTTAAAATACACAAAAGCCTAATTACCTAAGCTGAGAGCCACAGGATTGCGGCCTTTGTTTCAAAGCCTAAATATTTACTGAATGTATGTTGTTGACTGTAGAAACAAATAATATCTAAGTGAACCATACTAAACCGTTTAGATATTTTGCCTAGAAGTGCACCCAAAATACTGTGGGTGGTAGTTTAGTCGCTAAGTCGTGTCCGGCACTTTGCAACCCCATGGGCTGTATGTAGCCGGATTCTCCAGGCAAGAATACTGGAGTGAGGTTGCCATTTCTTTCTCCAGGGGATCTTCCCAACCCAGGAATCGAACGCGAGTCTTCTGCATTGCAGGCAGATTATTTACCAACTGAGCTACAAAGGAAGCCCATCCAAAATACTGTTCAGGGTCTAATTGTTTAGTCGCTTAGGCATATCTGACTCTGAGACCCCATGGAGTGTAGCGCCAAGGTCTCCCTGTCGTTCACTGTCTCCCGGAGCTGACTCAAACTCATGTCCATTGAGTTGGTGAGGAGAAGTGGGTGGTAGACGATAAGATGGTTGGATAGCATCACCGGCTCAAAAAAATAGTGGTTAAGTTTTAAGTAGGAGAGAGATGTTCCTACTGACACGCTTGTCTTCCCATGATTTTTTCTAAATGTTGTTACCCAAATATAGATGTTACCACATTAAGAACTAAGGACAGTAATGAGTCCTTATTAGCTTGATTTCTGAAAGTTTCAGACAATTGCATTCAGACACAAACTTAAATACTTGAGCCAGTTTTGTGTTTAGCTCTCTTAGATACACCTGTGCTTCCTATCTTTATAGTTAGTATGCTGATTGTTTCTGTGTTTCCTGTTTTTATAATTAGTATACTGATTATTTAGCACTTTTTATAGTGGGCACTAATAGTATGCTGTGCTCACTATTTAAGTCCTAAAAAAACTGTGTAAACTATATATGTTTAATATTCCCATTTTTTAGATGGGAAAACTGGAGCTTAGGCTAAGTAATTTGCCCAAGACCTTAAGCACTCCTCAAACTGCCTTTGAAACCGCTCTTTCATTAGTTCATTTAACAGCTGTCTCTGAAGATTGGTTCTTCACAAATTATTAGAGAACAGGAGTTTACATTCTAGAGTGTGGAGACAGATAAATCAGAAAATATCAGATTGTTGATAAGGCTATACAGAGAATTAAAGTAATAATATGATGTAGAGTGACTCAGTGACTGCTTCAGAAAGTTTGATTGAGGAAGAGCTGTCTAAACTGAGATGAGGATGCTCCGTGAACAGGGATCTTTTTCATCTTCTTCACCACTGTGTTTTCACTTAAAACAAAAAATAGGCACCCAAATATTTATCGCTGAATGTATGAAGAGCTTCTAAGCCAGTTTAATGAATGCTTAATGTATGCCATTCATGCCTATAATTCCTTTTATAACTTAGCTCTGTGAGTGCTGGCTCAGTCTTTGAAGAGAGTTAAATTAAAATTTCAGATCTGTCATTTGTCATGTGGGTTAGGTAAGGGCTCTGATGTTACATGGCTGAAGATAGCTTGTACTGTATATTTGTAGTTTCTTTCTTACCTAATTGTTAATTTTTACTCCGTCACTGTGCATAGGGTTCTATCTAGAATGCCTTAGTTTCTACAGGAAACTAAATAACCATATTTTCCTAGAGTTGTGTGAAGCTCAGCAGTAGTTCAGAAAAGGCTTTCTCCAAGAAGACATACTTAATGCAAAACTTTTAAACAGTGAATGTGGACTTCTAGAACACCTTTTTAGCTTACTCTTTAGTCTAAATGAAATAGGATGTTGACTAAAACATTAGACCTAAAGAGGTAGAACTATATCACATTTTTTTGAAAATAGTAAAACTGTTAGAGGCTTCTCAGGTGGCTCAGTGGTAAGGAATCCACCTGCCAAAGCATGGGTTCCATCCTTGGGTCAGGAAGATCCCCTGGAGGAAATGGCAACCCACTCCAGTATTCTTGCCTGGAAAATTACATGGGCAGAAGAGACTAGAGAGCTATGGTCCATGAGGTCACAAAAGAGTCGGACATGACTTGGTGATTAAACAACAAAAACAGCTTTTCTTTGGGGACCCCTTTCATATGAAATGGGTGTGTGCCTGTGCACTTACTTTTCCACATTCTAGAGAGCACTGACTACAGAGAAGAGTTGGGGATGGGGGGATGATCCATTATAATAGGTAGTAGTAAAGCATAAGTATTTAAGTAGGTTAGATCCATTATTTCTTTGGTGGTTTTTACTTTGTTTGTTGATATGATTTTGGAAATAGTTCTTTCTTCAATTTATATATCAGACAGACATAATGAGAAATGAATTTGAAAGACTGGCTGCTCGACAACCAATTGAATTGCTCAGTATGAAAAGGTAAGTCCTGTTCTTGGTTCGGCTGGGCTCAGATCATTCTTTAATTTTAATTTATTAGTAAAACTTCTGTCAGTTCAGTTCATTTGCTCACTGACTGGGGTTGCTGACTCTTTGCAACCCCAACGACTGCAGCATACCAGGCCTCCCTGTCCATCACCAACTCCTGGAGTTTACTCAAACTCAATGTCCATTGAGTTGGTGATGCCATCCAACCATCTCATCCTCTGTCGTCCCCTTCTCCTCCTGCCTTCAATCTTTCCCAGCATCAGGGTCTTTTCCAATGAGTCAGTTCTTCACATTAGGTCGCCAAAGTATTGGCATTTCAGCTTCAACATCAGTCCTTCCAGTGAATCTTCAAGACTGATTTCCTTTAGGATGGATTGGTTGGATCTCTTGCAGTCCAAGGGACTCTCGAGAGTCTTCTCCAACACCACAGTCAAAAGCATCAGTTCTTCGGTGCTCAACTTTCTTTATGGTCCAACTCTCATATCCATACATGACTACTGGAAAAACCATAGCTTTGACTAGACAGACCTTTGTTGGCAAAGTAATGTCTCTGCTTTTTAATATGCTGTCTAGGTTGGTCGTGACTTTTCTTCCAAGTAGCAAGCGTCTTTTAATTTCATGGCTTTAGTCGCCATCTGCAGTGATTTTGGAGCCCCCCAAAATAAAATCTGTCACTATTTCCACTGTTTCCCCATCTATTTGCCATGAAGTGATGGGATCACATTCCATGATCTTAGTTTTCTGAATGTTGAGTTTTAATCCAACTTTTTCATTCTCCTCTTTCACTTTCATCAGGAATCTCTAGTTCTTCACTTTCTGCCATCAGTGTGGTGTTATCTGCATATCTGAGGTTACTGATAACTTCTGTAGCATGTTCAAATAAATGTGGAAAAGGAAAAAAACTTGTCTGCTTTTATATTAATACATGTTTTTTCATATAATAGTTACACTCATGGTTTATATAATCTTTTGTTAATGTTCAAAAATGTTCTTTCCACCATCATTAAAATGTAAACTCTTTAAACTCCAATAACAAGAGAATGGAAAAGTAAGTTCATGTTTAAGAATTCCCAAGGACATATTCCTGATTAGACATGTAGTGCTTCACTCTTACACAGACAATGTTAGTAAACTCAGAGTGCCTGCATAGTTTGACTTTGGTTCTGTTTTCTCCCTTCCCATACCACTTTACTACAAAACTGTTTCTCCTTCCTCAGGGAAAAAACCCGAAACATTCTTTTGTTACTTTCTTTAAAATGGAGAATTGGGTTGCTTACCATCTGAGGTCCCCTTCAGCTCTAAGATAACTATGAAATGAGAGCCAGTATATAATCTGGCAGAGTGGAGAGGGCCACATGAACAGTGGGGTTATCCTCTCAGCATACATACAGATTATAAGAGGGATTTGAGCCTATAGAACCAAAGGACCAGATTTCGTCTTTTCTTGTGCTCCATTTCCTATCTGGCCTGACATGATAAAAGCAGAAAAACTTCTAGGACTCTTTAGTTCTCACATTTCTAGGTGCTTCTGCTCTAAAGGTTTTCAAGATAGTAGCTCTTTCATAACAGCATATTTTATTTCATTTATTTATTTATTTATTTATTTTCCGTAGAACACATGTATTTACATTAATTCAAACGTCCAAAGTACAATATAGTGGCATCTCTTTAACAGTTCATATAATTTGAGACTTATACACACACAAGCATATAGACAAATACTAGTCTCCTAGAACAAAGGCTGAAGAAGTTACTCAGACATTTTGGCATTGACACCTACATATTTATGGCAACAAATAATGATGGCTTTAAACTTTCAATAAGATCTTTTGTACAAGGATAGGAGATGTACAGAATGGAAAGAAGACAGTCAAACAAATGCACCTTTACTGTACTATTTATCTAACACCATATGCGATGTAGGACTGCTCAGCAAATTTGAGCAGGATTGTCTATTTACTCTGGTCTGCAATGATAACATGAACTGAAGTATCCCCAAATCTAACTTTACTTTGTGCTTTATAAACAACTGCTGCTTGGTTTTTCCTTCTGCATCTTTTAAAAATGAACACTTTTCTTTAACATAACTCAAATTTGGTCCCAATAAGTTAGTAAAATCTCTTAATACCTAAAATTTAGCTTTTCTTTCAAGAATCCTGAGTGAAAGGACAATGTCAGTCACGTCGCCTCCAGGCCAGCTTTGAAATTATCAGTGGTGCTAAAGATGAAGGTATTATCTAGAATTTAAAACTCTGAAATACAACTCCATCTTTCTCTGGCATGAACCTAAGTGCTTTACCACATTTCCTATGAACCAGTGAAAGAGACCCTTTGGTTTTATTTCTGAAACACAGAACAACCCCATTTCTTCCCTGCTGTTTATTCTTGCAGACCACACACAAAGTTGAATATAAAGAGATTCAATCACTACATAGTACAAATGCAGGCACAAAATTGAGTGGACGCCACAAAGGGTGTGTCTGAAAACACTGAATTGACCGAATCTGAGTCGGATTTCACCCTCGTGGACTTTAAGATGCCCTCAGCTATGACCATTTCACTGGGAAAGAGCCTGACCTTCCCATTCTGCCCTGCTGCGGTATCCTTCAAGCGTTCCAGAAACACTACTCTTTTCCCAGCCCCTGCCTTCCGTTCATCGGTGGCGGCCTCGCTATCAGGGCAGGGAGTGAGAATAGATGCGTGGACATTGCTTTGGTTTAGCATATTTTTTCGTCTCTTGGGTTTACACTTGCAGGGACACGGTGTCAGATAGAGGTACAGAAGGACCAAAACAATGCTGGCTACGCAGGCTGCAAGCGTGGTAAAAGCTGTGTTAAATGCCTCGTGCGCGTGGGATTTGTTTCTGGTGAAATTGCTCACGTTTATTGTGACATCCACAGTTTCATTTAACAGACGTTGGCGATTCATTGCAACATAGGAATACACTCCAGCATCCTCAAAACGAGGACTTTCTATAACCAGGCTTCCATTGGGAAACACATGGAAGTTTTCCATCTCTTTGTCGGGCCCCAGCACTCTGTTATCTGGACCGACCCACATGAAATCGGTATTTGCCCTGCCAGTCTTGCCGTCACAGTGGACCATCAGCCTTTCCCCGACCTGAGCCTCGTGAATAAAGCCAAGGGCACGGAAGGAACCATTGATGATACTGTCAGAGCAGTTCAGGAAGCTGTCCTGGAGCAGAAGCACCTGATGGAGTGCCTAGTGTCAGACCACAGGCGGCAGGTATAATCATCCTTAAAATCCATCACTGAGCTGAAGTGCCTACGGTACCAAAAAATCAGCAAGGAGTAGAGGGAACAGTCACAGACAAAGGGGTTTCCATGAAGGAAGATACCTCTCAGTTGCTTTCCTGGCACTAAGTTTATACGATGCATTGGCAGAGAGGAGATCCGGTTATAAGAAACATCTAGAAACATCAGTTCTGCCAGCTTGAACCTTCCAACATACAAATCCATGGGAAACTGCGTGAGAAAGTTTCCACTTAAGTACAGTTTTTGCAGTTGGGAGAGCCCTCCAAACGCTGAAGGATCCAGATAGGAAATGTGATTGTTGTAAAGCAGGAGCACTTCCAGAACCTTCAGCTCTTGGAACACTGCACTTTTCACAGTCTTCGGCTTGTTGGATGACAAGTCAAGACACTTCAGATTTGGAGTGGTGGAAAAACTGTCCGTGGAAATGCTCGTGATGTTGTTGTGCCGAATAATGAGGGTGTTCAGCTTTACCAAGGATACTGGAATCCACTCAAAGCCCAATTCTGTTGTAACTCAGATCCAGTCTCTTGATCAGCCTGAAAAGGTTCCCAGGCGCCCTGGACAGATTTTTGTTGGTGCAGCTGACGATGTCAGTGGCACAGATGCAAGCGGTGGGGCACACCCCGGAGGCGCCTCGGCTCACAGTCACCGTGATAACTAACAAACACAGCAGTTCCTTGCAGCCCCGTCTGACAACTCCAGGCAGGGTGGGCAGTGCGTGTAAACGTAAAGACATTATGGTCGCCTCTGAGTCTCTTCCAGGCGCCTTTTCCACCAGCTCAGCCTCCCACCAGTGAACAGAGCTGGGACGCCTCACGGGCTCCGGGGATAGGCCGCCGACGTGGTGTCTTCTGCAGGTCTGTGCGTCCGTCTGTCTCTCTCTGTCACTCCGGCATCTTAGGACTTCCTTTCCCTTTTGCTCCCGGCGGGCGGCAGCCTCTCGCTGGCTCGCAACTTTGGGGAGTTTCAAGCTGCCGCTTCGGCGGCGGCAGCAGCAACCCCGGCCGCAGGAAACGTCTCGACCGGCTCCGGTTGGTTCTCCCGGGCTCTCTTCATTGCTCGGCTGAAGGTACCGCCTGGGCGATCTGGTCGTCGCGTGCCCACGCGCAGGGCGCCCGGCTCCTGGAGCCGGGTCCGAGGGGCAGGGGCACGGGAAGCGGATCGGACCCGGCCCCGCCTCTCCGCTCGTGGGAGGCAGCAGGGCCCCCATAACAGCATATTTTAAACCCATAAGTAGGTTATAATCCATTAAGCAGTTGATTGTGAAGTTTAGTAAGACATCACAGCACTTTTTTTTTTCCCATTTATTTTTATTAGTTGGAGGCTAATTACTTTACAATATTGTAGTGGGTTTTGTCATACATTGACATGAATCAGCCATGGATTTACATGTATTCCCCATCCCGATCCCCCCTCCCACCTCCCTCTCTACCGATCCCTCTGGGTCTTCCCAGTGCACCAGGCCCGAGCACTTGTCTCATGCATCCAACCTGGGCTGGTGATCTGTTTCACCCTAGATAATATACATATTTCGATGCTCTTCTCTTGAAACATCCCACCCTCGCCTTCTCCCACAGAGTCCAAAAGTCTGTTCTGTACATCTGTGTCTCTTTTTCTGTTTTGCATATAGGGTTATCATTACCATCTTTCTAAATTCCATATATATGTTTTAGTATACTGTAATGGTCTTTATCTTTCTGGCTTACTTCACACTGTATAATGGGCTCCAGTTTCATCCATCTCATTAGAACTGATTCAAATGAATTCTTTTTAATGGCTGAGTAATATTACATGGTGTATATGTACCACAGCTTCCTTATCCATTCGTCTGCTGATGGGTATGTAGGTTGCTTCCATGTCCTGCCTATTACACAGCACTTTTTTTAAGGAAGATAAAATATCAGAATGTGTTGCATGTAAAGTTAAGTACTGTTTTGTGAAACTTCTGTTCAGTTATGTGTATTTGTATACTGTGTCACAGTGTAAAATATTTCTTATTGTGGGTTATGATTTGAAGTTCTCAAAATGCTACATTTATGATGCATGTGTAAAGTTTGCTTTTTTTAAAAAAGAAACAAAATAGTTTATCACTTCTTAGTCCCAGCTGCATGTCCCTCAATTTTTCATAGGAATGATATGAAGTTTTTACAATATCTAATAACAGAAAATGGAAATTGAAAGTTAGTTTGTAGCAACTCATTATGAAGCTGGGATTTATGAAGAGTGTATGTTCCTGGCTATATTGGCAGTATTGAAGGACTGGGTATTATTAAAAATAGAGAAAAGACTAAGTGTGAAATGTAAAAATCATCATATACCTTTGCCATTTTTATCTCTAGAGGGGTGTAGATATGTGGGTAGGAAGGTGGATAGATGTAGGTGTGTTTTACAAAATGAAAGTATGGTTTTTCATATCCTGATTTTTTCCCTTAATGTATTACAAACATTTTAATATTCTAAGTATTCTTTAGTAACATTTAATAGCTGATATAACAGTCCTTTATGTGAATGCATACTGTAGCTTATTGTATCATTTCACATTGAAATGAACAGTTATTTGTTACTGTATATCAAATGCTAGATCTTATTTGTAAATTGATTCTTAGGATAAATAGGCTTCTTATTATTGCAAGGTCTACATGTTATCTTCAGTCTTCTGGTTGGTCTGTTTTTTTTCCAGTCTTCTGTTTTTACAGTGTGTGTAGACCTACGAGGCATTCTGTTGGGAGTAGAGAGAAAGATTTGGAGGAATATGTGGTTTTATTTCATTGTTGTTTAATTTCAGATATGAACTTCCAGCCCCTTCGTCCGGTCAGAAGAATGACATCACTGCATGGCAAGAGTGCGTAAACAATTCTATGGCGCAGTTAGAGCATCAGGCAGTTCGAATTGAGAATCTGGAACTAATGTCCCAGCATGGATGCAATGCCTGGAAAGTGTATAATGAGTAAGAAACCTTTTTTTTTTTTTAAACCCATCCCACCTGTTTAAGGGAACCTAAACCTAACACATTTATTGTATAACGTTGCGGTAACAAGTTCTGAGGTCTGATTTACAAAACAGCTTGGTAGTAGACCATAATCCTTAATGTGGGGGGCGGTGCTTTTACAGTCAGCTCTCATTAGTCGTGCTTTCTGCTTTTTAAAGTGGCCTTGAATACTGAATTAGCAAACACTGAACCATTTCAGTATTTGGGAGAAATACATACATGTGTATATATACACATCTCACATAGACGATAATCTTACACACTTTATAACAACTCACCCTGACACATTGTGTATTTTATTTATTTTATAAAAGAGAAGACAAAGTTTGGAAGTGTTAAGTAGCATGCCAGAGTTGGAAATTAAACTCTCTCCTCTGGTTATCTCTGCATGAGACCTGAAACAAGAAGGTGGAGTATCCCTTTGTTCTTCTTTAGCTGGAAATGCGCATGTTTAGCAACTCTGAATTTTTTGCTGCTCTGACCGCATCCATGAATGATCACAGAACTCTGCAAGGATTGATTTGGGGGTTACAAATAAATTTGAGTTAATGGGCAAATTCATCTGTACAGAATCTGCAGATAATGAGAATTGATTATAAGCAGAGAATTAACACCAGAAGCAAGAGTGCTACTGAACTCCTATTTTTTCCCACAGAACTAGCTTTAGCTTTAGGTTTTGCTGTCTATGGTATTTAAGGTTCAGTTTCCAGTTCATAAAAGTTAGTGGTTAGATGATCTCCATGGCTTCTTTGAGCCGTAAAATCCCACATTTCCATTAACAGTTTAAGGCCATCGACTCTCATGACTGCATAAAACCATTTGTTAGAGTATGATTCCTGAAACAGTAAAGCAAAAATCACAAAATGATAAATAGCTTTTCTCAAGTTTTCAGAATCATGTTTAAACTTCTTTGGTCACATAAGGATCTGTGGGCAAAATCCAGAATGTAAGAAATTGCAGAACAAACAATTTAGTCTCTATTGTGAACATCACAAGGCAAATAAAGCAACACTGGAGTTAGGACGATTAAGAAATTTTAAGAGAACAAATCAATCCAAAACAGCATGTATTTCATAAAGTGAAAAATGATTTTTTTCCTCAAGAAGCTTTCTTTATCTAGTTGAGGCAAGATATTCTAGGCCAGATAACCAAGCAGTTCATTTTGGCAGTGTGGAGGCATGTGCTGCATTGTGGTCTGTAAACTGTAGAGATCCAGCGAAGGGGACATTAAGGATTAGGTCCACTGTAAAAGGATGAGATGTGAGGGTGGGGATTATTGAACTGTAGTTGAGTTTTGTGTTAGTTTGAGATGTATGGCATAGTGATCTGGTATTTTTGCAGATTATACTCTATTATAGGTGATTACAAGACAATGGGTATAATTCCCTATGCCATACAGTATGCCCTTGTTGCTTATCTACTTTACATATAATAGTTTGTATCTGTTACCTATCCCTAATTTGTCCCTCCTCCGCTTCTCTCACCTTTGTTAACCACAAGTTTGTTTTCTATATCTGTGAGTCTGTTTCTGTTTTGCGTGTATATTTTATTTGTATTATTTTTTGAGATTCCATATATAAGTGGTATCATACAGTATTTGTCCCTGACTTATTTCACTGAGCATAATATTCTCTAGCACCATCCACATTGCTGCATGTGGCAAATTTCCTTTTTATGACTGAGTCGTAATAACATTGTTGATGTGTATATATGTGCCATCTTAAATTCAGTCATCTGTTGATGGGCACTTGGGTTGCTTCCATGTTTTGACTATTGTAAATAGTGCTGCTACACACATTGGGGTGCCTGTGTCTTTTCAAATTACAGTTTTCATTTTGTTTTCAGATATATGCCCAGGAGTGGAATTGCTGAATCATATAGTATTAATAGTTCTACTTTAAATTTTCATACTGTTTTCCTTAGTAGCTGCACCAATTTACATTCCCATCAGCAGTGTACAAGGTTTTCAGAAAAGGGTGAAATATGGATGTTTAGAGGAGAGTGAAAACATTCTAGGAATGGAGGAGAACATAGATGGGGGCAGGGGGGAAAGAGATGCCTCGGATTGAACATTGCTTTCATAATTAAAGATGTAAAGCTTTAATAATTATTCTTTATTTAAGGTCCAGGCTTTTTTTTTTTTTTTTTTTTTTTGAGAAAAGCCAACATAAAGCACTTTTATTGTAATCATGTAAGTGGGGGGATGGAGGTAGGCTGGGGGAGTAGGCAACAATTTCTCTCACCAGATCACTACACAGGACAGCAAAGGGGTGAGAGGGGGCAAGGAGAAGCCAGGAAACTCTGAGATCAACACGGGAAGCTGAGCATCAAAAAACAGGAGTTGCTGAAGCTGTGGTGACCAGCATCATTTTCTTAAGACAACACTCAAGGATTTGTCATGATGGCTTGGCTTTCATGGGAGTTAAGTGTCTACAAACAGCATCTTCAATTTAACTTTCTATTAAAGTTCTTAAAATTTAGGAAGTAGAGCTTGGATAGCTATGCGATTACAAAAACCTGGATATCCATCCATTAGAAAAACCACAAGATGGAAGCAAAAAACAAAGGCCAGGCCATGAAGGTTTCAGAGGACTCAGGGAACAGACATCTGCAATGTCCAACATCTCAGTGAAAACAATCTGCTTTCAAAAGGCAGAGGGTCTACAAGGAGGGTGAGGGTGGGGCAGAGGAGGCAAATGCTCTCCCCCTTCTCACTGCAGTTTTGGGTAGGGCTTTCAATTCAACCCGATGACATCTCTCAACTTGGAGAATAATTCGGCCCTCAAAAGCGCTTTGAATCTGCTATGTCTTTGCAGTGCAGCAGCAAAAACGTTTAATATATAATAGATAAAACTTTCATCCAACAAAATAAAAATTCTTGCACCCCGCCACCCCCCCCAACACCAATTCCTAGTCTAAAGTTAACCCATTACTTGTGTTGTTAATACTTGACTAACACTTAATTGGAAACCTAGATCCAAAGGACTGAAACTCAATCTTCACCCCAGAACAAAAACAAACTGAGTAATTTGAGGTTTATGGCATATACTTCAGGTCAACACACATACGAGGAGGAAGGGGAAGAGCAAAGCCGGTGACAGGACACATTCAGTCTGGGAAGATGTTTATACAGAGTGTAGTGGAACATGGACTCGCTGTGTGCGTCTGGAGGTGTCAGATCCTTCTGTGGCACCTCCAAGAATGGGGAGCTCGGGGAGGAGGCCGCTCCTGTCACCCCGGTTTTAGAAGTTCCACCTCAAAGATGAGTGTAGCGTTTGGTGGGGTGATGCCTGGGTGCCCAGTGGCACCACAGGCATAGTCTGGGGAGATAGTCAGCTTGGCTGTCTGACCCACACTCATCTGGGCAACCCCTTCTTCCCAGCCTCAGATCACCTCCTGCTTGCCCAGAACAAACTTAAAGGGCTTGTTTCTGTCCCAGGAGGAATCGAATTTCTTTCCACCGTCAAGCATCCCGTGTAGTGCACCACGCAGGTCTGGCCGCACTTCGGGAAGGTGCGCCCGTCTACGGGAGAGATGGTCTCCACCTGCACTCCTGTGGCCGCGGTAGTGGCGGACACTGGGTTGGCCAATGGGCTGCGGCTACGGGCAGCGTGGACTGAGGCAGGTCCAGGCTATTTAACATGATATTCAAAGCAAAAGTCTAGTCCTCTCTTTGGTGACTATCATAAAATCTGCCTCCGAGCCTTTACTCAGGCCTTACCTCCTCCTGAAATACCTTTTAACTATTCTACCCAAATTCAGCTTATTCAAGGCATGACTTTAATCTGTTTCCTTTTCTTCCCTGATTAAAATTCTGCTTCTGGTACTCTCCATCTTTTGAGTAACTATACAAATCACTATGCGCATCACTTGTTTTCCATTTAATTGCATAACACTTTCTAGTGTCAGTCTTTCTTTTGCCCATTATTTTGTCTCCTCCAAACCCAATGGATGTTTCTCCAGAGGAGCTATACTGTATCTTCTCAAAAGTAAATTTTCTTTCTTTGTGATAGGATTCGCAGATGTCCAATATGCTGGGCAGAAGACTTCAGTTTTAAGTAGATCTTGGTGCAGAACTGCTTTTAAAAAAACAATATTTCATTAATAAGGAGAGAATTCTTTACTTGAAACTGAAGGGAAACCTTCAAGGTCAGCCCCTAATTTTACAGATAAACAGATTTAGCCCTTGTAATATCAAATGACTCATCCAAGGAAGCATAGCTATTTAGGGCAGAGCTGAGACTAGAGCCCAAGTCTTCTGATTCCCATGGTATGGTGTGGTCAGTTTCAGCATTCTTAATACTTGAGGAGGGACCTGTGTGTTTAAGAGGGAAGCTAGGAGAAGGGAGAAGACAACAAATAAGCTGGGCTTTCAGAAAGAGGTGATTCAAAGAAAAGTTCCCTATTAACGGTCAGAGGTCAGGAATAGAGTACTAAGCTTTATTGTCTTCAGGGTGGAATAATTGTCAAAGTGGGATGAGCTGAAAGAAAGCCTGGAGAGGCACCACTGTTTGGAGACCAAGTTTGTATAGAATTAGAGTTAGTTTTTTAAAATCAGTTGGTAGAGATAGGAGAATTAACTCGAGAAGCAGGAAATTTGAGCCACAAAAGCCCGGAAATAATACTGGATCTAGAGCAAGAGCATAATAGAGCCAGTATGGTTGAAATGGACTCTCCTGCCTTAAGAGGAAATTGATAGGGTATGTGAATTATATCTTAGTAAAGCTGTAGTTTAAGAAAAGAGAGAGATTGAACTCTACCCTTGAGCCATTTCTCTAATGATAATTGCAGGGAACTCTGTATAACTCAACTTCTCCCCTCTGCTGGTTAGAGCTGATTTGGACTGGAATCTGAATCTACAGCCTTCCACAACAGTTCTTTTCTTCTCTCTAGTTAGCAGTAGACAGGAGAGAGTGACATACTAAATGTAGGTGAAGAAATAGAGATAAAAGGAGGTGGACTCATGAGTGATATAATGAGTATACTTGTGAGATATTCCCTAAGATGTGATACAAGTACACAAAATCATAATTCTAGTAAACAGCTTGGGTTCAAGAGTTTATAAGACCTGAATGCACCTCTGAGACTTAATCATGTTTGTTACCTTGACCAAGTTACTTAATCTGAATACAGTGTCCTAACCTGTGAAATGGGGATAATGATGTCTACCTCATAGAACTCTTGTGAGAATTAGGTTAGTACTGTAGTGTGTCTAACATGATGTCTGGCACAGGGAACTCAAAAAATACTGGCTTATTTTTAGCAAAAAAACTTGACCTTGTGTCAACTAGACAGTATACTTTCAGTTAGCACTATTTGATTTTAATGTACATTAATCTGCTTTTTTTTTTTAGAAATCTAGTTCATATGATTGAGCACGCACAGAAAGAGCTTCAGAAGTTAAGGTAAATTGTTTTTCTTTCTATTTTAGAATGAAGTTTAGGTGAATCCTTAGTAAATACAATGAGAAGAAAAAGGAACCACTGGACTATAGTCATATGAGAGTAAATAATTGATGATCCACTCTGTCCAATGTTTAGTGTTGGATTTGCCCTACCTGAGTTGAAAAGAAATAGACGTGAGATCTGAAAACATCTCTCTGGGGTCATTTGCAGTTTGCAATTATTGAAATGATACTTTTAGAAGGAAAAAGTAGTAGAATAATATATATAATATGATTTATATTAAATTAAAAACACACACATCCCCTAATCTCTGTATGTATATATACATACAGGAAAGTATCTGAAAGAATACTCACCAAAAACTGAACGAAAGCTATCAGAGAGAAGGAAAAGCATATGAAAGGAGGGACTGTCCATTCTTAAGCAGTTAAAGACGTATTAATTATAGACTTTTCTGTTGATTTTAATCTTATGTTAGAATTAGGTGGGCTGTATAAATATCTTTTTTTTTTTTTACAGGAAACATATTCAAGACTTAAACTGGCAACGAAAGAACATGCAACTCACAGCTGGATCTAAATTAAGAGAAATGGAGTCAACGTGAGTATCTGTAATTCCATCACCTTTTAAATTGTTTGGCATGTGTTAAGATCAGGATTCAACAATATGATTCAAACAGTATTCAAATAGAGTGCCACAAGTATCAAAGAAATGCTTTTCCGGAATCCCCAGTCTTCACTGCTTCTGCCTGTTTCTAAAGTATGAGCTTGAAAGGAAGTTAGAGTTACAAACAAAAAATTGAACCAGTGCTAATTTATTCTTATTTTAGAGCCCCCTGTTTTCCATCCACTACTTCTGTATGGAATTCCACTCTTTAAAAGGATAAAAAGTCTATTTTTAAACTCTTATTGGAGGGAAATTCCTTACTTTCTTGATCATTTGTGTATATCTCAGGAGTTTTTCCTCCTTGTTTATGTATTTTGTTTTCTTAACGTTCTTCATATATTCAAATAAATTTGTACAAATCTCTAAATATAGTCATTTTTTTAATCGCTTCTTTTCTTTTTTGACTTGCTCTTTCCCTAATCTCTCTGCCTCCATTACCCACACCATTGTCCTTATTCCACCTTCCCCTCATCTTCTGAGTACCCGATGTTATCAGTCTATTACTGCATCTTTCCACACTCTTCTTCAGATTGATATAATCTTCTGCATGTACATGTGTGTTCATTTCATTTGTCCTAGAGATTTTTTTCTGAGAGAAGGGGAAGATTCTTTGAATCTGTGGAATTCTGTCTTAGCAGCTGTAGAAATTTCTTCATTTTTAACTATTGCCTTTACCTTATTTTCTATCCTTTTCTAACCCAATTAAATACTAACTTCAATCACTCTTTCATATGTCTTCAGCTCTTTCTAATTTGTTCTTTTTTTAAATGTTTTATTTTGAGATAATTGTAGGTTCACATGCAGTTTAAGAAGTAGTACAGAGCAGTCCTATATACATATCCTTTACTCACTTTTCCCCCTAATTGTGCCTCAGCTTTTGAAAATGTAAAGCTAAAAGTGAAGGTTAGTATTATGGTTAAAAATGTATATACTGGTTAAAAATGTATATACTGGTTAAAAATGTGTGTGCGATAAATGTGTATAGTTTTGTGCATACTATAAACATCTTGTAAGAGAAATTTCGCTTTAGGTGATTTTCCCCTCTGTTCTCTTTTCTAGCTGGGTATCCCTGGTCAGTAAGAACTATGAGATTGAAAGGACTATTGTGCAGTTAGAAAATGAGCTCTTTCAAATGAAGCAGCAACACGGAGAGGCAAACAAAGAAAACGTACGGCAGGACTTCTGAAGTAGACAGGCCTGGTGGGCAGCGTGGGAGGGACGTTGGGCTTTCACAGAGCATCAGGCATCTTAACTGTGGAGAACATCAGCATCGTTTGGAAGGCATCAGTGGTTTTATGTTTAGAAACCATAAAATGTGGGTAGCTGTATTCTGTTTGTACATTTTTGCAAAATAAAAAACTTCAACATCGTGGTGGTTTGTTTTGTTTTGTGTTTTTGCTATTTAAAAAAGAGCTTTAGACTTCCAAGATTCGTATGGCTTTAGAATAATGTTCATAAAATAAATTTTGAGTCACTGGGACCATATTTTGTACCCAAGAGATCCTTACTGAAAGTTTTCAACATGTACAAGAAGTTGGAAATTTTGATTTATTAATATAAGTATTTCAAATAAAGAGGTAGTTCTAAACAAATTTTTAATTACCAAACAAGACTAAAGAAATACAGTGGCTCCATATATGTTATCTGTGATCATCATCACTGTAAGCAACGGTTACATAAAGCTTAGTATGTGCTGAGCACTGTTCTAAGCACTTTAGGTAGATGAACTAAACTTACATGAGTTAAGAAAAAAAAATGGATCCTCACAAAAGCCTATGGAATTACATATTCTTCTCATATACAAACTGACAGATTCTGATGAAGTAATTTGCTAAAGTTTTTTTAGCTAGAAAGTGTTATCAAGGTTTTGAAACCAGTAGTTAGCACCATGGTTGTGTCCTTATCCCTCCACTTGTAAAGAATTAAATTATAAAAGATTCCTAACCAATTCAGAAAAAAGTATTTGCAACGTATCAAAGGATACATAGTCTTCCTGTACAGAGACCTTTTACAAATCACTGAGATGAACTCCCGCCAGAAAAAAGTTAAAAGATGTTTAGCATTAAAACCTAGAACTTGTCGTACCTATTGCATTAATAGTGCTTTTTGTTGTTCAGTCGCTAAGTCACGTCCAACTCTTTGTGACCCTATAGACTAGCGTATCAGGCTTCCCTGTCCTTTACCATCTCCTGGAATTTTCTCAAACTCATGTTCATTGAGTCGGTGATCCCATCCAACTGTCTCATCCTCCGCTGCCCTCTTCTGCCCTCAATCGTTCCCAACATCAGGGTCTTTTCCAGTTAGTCACCTCTTCACATCAAGTGGCCAAAGTATTGGGAGCTTCAGCATCAGTCCTTCCAATGATTATTCAGGGTTGATTTCCTTTAGGATTGACTGGTTTGACCTTGCTGTCCAAGGGACTCTCAAGAGTCTTCTCCAACACCACAATTCAAAAGCATCAATTCTTTAGGACTCAGCCTTCTTTATGGTTCAACTCTTGCATCTATACATGACTACTGGAAAAACGATAGCTTTGACTCTGCAGAAGGTAAAGTGCTTTTTTGGGGGGTGGGGTATAATTGACAATATTAAGGGTCAGTGGTTTTAAAGCTACAAAAAAGTCCGTAATTTGTATATGACTTTTTTTAAATCAAAATTTTTGTGTTTATACACTTATACTTTTTCTCTCTATATAATAGTATGGAGTTTCATTTGTTATCTATCAAATATTCAATATTATTAGGTAGAGCTTATACCATCAGCTTTACTCATCTTTTATATAGCAGTATGTATATAATGTATTGAATATTTTCATACATTGCTCTCAAAAGTGACTGGAAAATGAATATATGATATTTGTTGAAACTGGCAAGTCTTTAGCTTCAGTCAGAAGCTCATTGGTCTTGAGCTGTTGACTGCTTAATTAGAGGACAATAGAGAAATGTATGAAGTACTTAGAAAACATGTCAAAAAAAAAAAAAGGTACAGTGGTGAAGTTTAAAAATCTTTAAAGATTAGAATCAGCATCTAAAATGCATCACAATAGCCCAAACCCTAGGAAAAGTTCAGTAGCATGTTAAAACTGTTGAAGATAAAGCTTGCTACATATGTCTTTATGATGGGAAGGGGAATTAATTGCATTTTAATTTCAACAATTTTTTTTAAATTTTATGATGTGTTGAACATGACTCCGTCAAACATGACTGAGCACCATGGGTTGATAGTATACTTTTCAAAGTTAGCCACATTCAAAGGGAAAAGTACTTGTATGACTTAGGATTTTTCTATGTTCTAGCTTTCTGGAAACAGCATCCTTCTCCCACCCTCTCCATTTCTACTTCTAACTTTTCTAAATTTAGTTAGGAATTTATATACAAAAGGAAGTGACTTTCTATCATATGGGCAAATATCTGAAAGGTTATACACTATTTTTAACTGGCCCAAGATCTATGAATAGTTTCAAGGGTTCCATGAACTGCTTCACATCCTGTTTTATATGTGTGTATGCATTTTTAATAGAGTATAATTTGCATCAGATTCTCAAAGGGGTTCATAATGCAAGAAAGATCCCTCCCCTGGTAGACATGACTGTTCTGTCACATCAAGTTCCATTCTCCTTCATTCTTTCTCTCCCTTCTCCCCAGATTCAACCTCAGCTGAACTGCATAATTTTTTAATAAGAAGTCCATCATCTCCAGTTTTCTTTGGCACTGCCAGGGGTTGGATGGGAAGCACATGATTTTTGGCAAGGTGGAAAGAGAGTAAGGGACTTCACCAGTGGTCCAGTGGGTAAGACTCTGCACTCCCAATTCAGGAGGCCCAGGTTCCCTGATCAGGGAACTAGATCCCACATGCCCGTTCCACACACCGTAACAAAGATGGAAGATCCTGAGTGCTGTAACTAAGACTTGAAGAGTATGAATATTATGGAAGCCATGGAGTATTTTGGGTCCAGTAATAATAGTGAGACCAGCAGGAAGATTACCATTGCTGACGGTGGACAACTCAAAAATTTGACTCCCAGACCATTTCTTCTATAGCTCAGGAGAGCACCCTCTACCCACATCTGCTCACAGTCTCCTATAATCTTTGTGCTTTTGGTGCAGTTCCTTGGGTTCTATGTTTTCTTTACCTTCTGGATTGCAGAGGTAAGTTTATGATTATGATATAATGACAGCAAAGCCTGTCCTGCAAGATCGCAGGGAGGGGAGATCTGTTACATATTTAAAAATAAATGAGTCAAAATATCTTCCAGCTCATTCAACATCATTTCTGGAAACTAGAAACAAAAAAATGGAGCCATACCTTCAGAATTCTTAGAAAAAGTTTACAACCTAGGCCTCATCAGGTGGTCAAATTATCATTTAAGAATAAACAGAATAAAGATAATTTCAGTCAAATGAGATCTTAAAAACCTTTACTTCCTGAGCATCATAAGGAACTACTGGGAGATAAACTCTTCTGATCTAACACAGGGGAAGGGTAGAGGGACGCTTCCAAGGAGACGGGTGAAAAGATCCCAGGATTATATCGGTACACTCTATAGAGGGTAGCCAGTTCAGGTTGGAATGGTGTGACTCGAGATAAGCATTTAGAGAGTTATCACAAATATGCCCACTACCATGGTACCATCTTTATACCTTGAGGAGCAGGATGCCCAGGTGAGCTGGCAGACATTTCTGACTTAGACTTGACTTGCTCGATGTCCTGATGAAATTCCTATTCTCCCCCTCCTTGACCTACTGGAAGTGTTCTGCTGTGTCCTACTTCTGAAGAGTTATTTCAGTCGCTCAGTTATGTCTGACTCTGTGACCCCACGCACTGCAACATGCCAAGCTTCCCTGTCTATCACCAGTTCCCGGAGCTTGCTCAAACTCATGTCCACCGAGTCAATGATGCCATCGAACCATCTCATCCTCTGTGTCCCCTTCTCCTGCCTTCAATCTTTCCCAGTATCAGGGCCTTTTCCAATGAGTTGGTTCTTCGAATCAGGTGGCCAAAGTGTTGGAGCTTCAGTTTCAGCATCAGTCCTTCCAATGAATATTCAGGACTGATTTCCTTCAGGACTGACTGGTTTGATCTCCTTGTGGTACAAGGGTCCCTCAAGAGTCTTCTCCAGCACCACAGTTCAAAGGCATCAATTCTTTGGTGCTCAGCTTTCTTTATGGTCCAACTCTCACATCCATACATGACTACTGGAAAAACCATAGCTTTGACTATACGGACCTTTGTCTGCTTTTTAATATGCTGTCTCAGTTTTTCATAACTTTTCTTCCAAGGAGCAAGTGTCTTAATTTCATGGCTGCAGTCACCATCTGCAATGTTTTTGGAGCCTGAGAAAATAAAATCTGTCACTATTTACATTGTTTCCCCATCTAATTTGCCATGGAGTGCTGGGACCGGATGCCATGATCTTATTTTTTGAGTGCTGAGTTTTAAGCCAACTTTTTCACTCTCCTCTTTCACTTTCATCAAGAGACTTTTTAGTTCCTCTTCGCTTTCTGCGATAAAGGTGGTATCATCTACATATCTGAGGTTATTGATATTTCTCCCAGCAATCTTGATTCTAGCTTGTGCTTCAGCCGGCCTGGCATTTCTCATGATGTACTCTGCATATAAGTTAAATAAACAGGGTGACAATACACAGCCTTGACATACACCTTCCCCCATTTGGGACCAGTCCATTGTTCCATGTCCAGTTCTAACTGTTGCTTCTTGACCTGAATACAGATTTTTCAGGAGGCAAGTAAGGTGCTCTGGTATTCCCATCTCTTGAAAAATTTTCCAGTTTGTTGTGATCCACATAGTCAAAGGCTTTAGTGTAGTCAATGAAGCAGAAGTAGATTTTTTTTTTTAATTCTGTTGCTCTTTCTATGATCCAGTGGATGTTGGCAATTTGATCTCTGGTTCCTCTGCCTTTTCTAAATCCAGCTTGAACATCTGGAAGTTCTCAGTTCACGTACTGTTTTTTGTTGTTGTTTTTTTTTCCCTCGCCTCTACTCTCCTCCCACTGGTTGATGTACTGTTGAAGCCTAGCTTGGAGAATTTTCAGCATTACTTTGCTAGCGTGTGAAATGGGTGCAATTGTGTGGTAGTTTAAACATTCTTTGGCATTGCCTTTCTTTGGGATTGGAATGAAAACTGAAAGGGGTAAACTCAGTTTCCTCTCTCAGTGACTTACTGTAG